AAAGTCGTACCTCACACAATCCATCACCCCATTCCTTTCTTTCTCACCAGTCTGTTTACTTCCTGCATAACATTTAACAATACAGCAGTCCCCCTTTATCCGTGGAGAATATGTTCCAAGACTCCCAGTGGATGCCTGAAACCACAGATAGTACTGAATCCTATATACACCATGTGTTTTCCTATACATACATACATACCATAAAGTTTAACTTATAACTTAGGCACAGTAAGAGATTAACAATAACTAATAATAAACAATTATAACAGTATACCGTTACAAAAGTTTTGTGAATTGGTTGGTTAGAGGGTTGTGCTGATGACACCAAGGTCCAGGGTTTGATCCCTGTACCAGCCAGCCGCCAAAAACAAAAGTTTTGTGAATGTGGTGTCTTTCTCTCTTTCACAGTATCTTATATTTTTGGACCATGGTTGACTGCAGGTAACTGAAACTGTGGAAAGTGAAACCATGGCTAAGGGGGACTACTGTATTATATTGCTTATTTATGACTGAATACAACCCCCATGTATTAGTCCGTTTTGTGTTGCTCTAACAATGAGACTGGGTAATTTATAAAGAAGAGAGGTTTATTTAGCTTACAATTCTGGGACAGCTGCATCTGGCATGGGCCTCAGGCTGCTTCTACTCATGGCAGAAAGTGGCAGGTAGCCGGCGGGTACAAGCAGATCACATGGTGAGAGGAAGCAAGAGAGAGAGAGAGAGAGAGGTGAGTCTCACTCTCTCTGCTTCCACCATCTTGCAATGTGAGACCCCTGGGTCACTGTCACCACCACCAAATGGACTTTGGATTTCCCAGCCTCAGAAACTGTAAGCAATGAATTTTGCTTTTCTTTATAAGTCACCCAGTTCCAGGTATTTTGTTATAAGCAACAGAAATGGCCTAATACACCCCATCCCCACTATAGTACAAACTCCAAAAGGACAGGGACTTCGTCTTGTTCTCTACTATATCCCTAATACTCAGCTAATGCTCGACACATTGCAGGTTTTCAAAAAATATTTGTTGAGTTAACATATAAAACTAGTCTTCTACCTGAGATAGGTGGTGTTCAGTTTCCATGGGTTTGGGTTTCAGGACACATCTCTGGGTTCCAAACCATTCCCCAAGGTCTCAGACCCCTCCTCGAGGCCCTCCTCTAGAAGAGAGTTACTCTTCCTTATTGGACCTATTTTTGGTACCAACATGGGGAAATTGAGACCTCTGGGGGCTGGCTTATGCAAATCCAGTGGCTGGGCCTTCTAAGTAGAAAGGGGTTATATAACCCTAGTAGCCGAGCATGCTCAGTAAAGTGGAATTTATCCTCTGAATGACCTTCCACTGGAGGCACTAAAGAGAGTAGAATATTCTTGAATATGTATGGTGCATGTGGTAGAATTTGACCAATGAACATGCCCTAAAAGGAGACCAACTGAGCATGTGCAAGACTATGTTACAGGAGCGGCTTCTGGTCAAGATGGCAGAATAGACGGTCCCCAGCATCACTCTCTCCCACTAATCAACCAATTTACAACTATGAAAAGGCAATGACAGTCAAGCTGGGGCTGCTAGAGTTCAGGGGAAGAGGAGGAGAGACCTATGGAGTTCATGAAGGTGGGAGAAGCCACAATGAGAGAAAGAAAGGATCGCTCCCACCATTTCAAGCCCTGGCTGCTTTAAGGCTGGAGCTGGTGAGCACACACAACAAGAGCTGGCAAAAGCCACAGCTGTATCCTTCCTATGAAGTTGCTTGGAGGCGGCAGGGGAGAAGAGGGCCTTGGTGGCCCTCAGGCTAGCAAGACCACTAGAAGGGTTCCTGTGGACCCACATAGGAGCAAGGAGCCACAGACAAGTGAAAATAAGAGCCACTCAGAGGCCAGTGAGTCATCACAAGGGACCAGCACATGGCCTGCCCTATGGGAAATGTTTGGAGTGTAGGTGGTGGGGGTGACGGGCCACCAGGGGAACATTGAAGCACAGGAGGAACAGCTGATCTGCCCCCCAATCAGCACAGGACCACTCTGTGGAGACTGGTCAGGAATATAGAACTGCAGGGTGTGCAGTTTGCTGAAAAGACTCAGGCCCAGACCAGAGTTTCCACACAACCCAGGTGTACTGAATCTTGCAAGACCCAGTAGTGCTCACAAGGTCAACCATTAAAACCTGAGCTGCACAAAAATCCTTCCCCAGAGAATCAGCAGCAAAGCAGCAATTTAGCTCCACCACAGGGCTCAAGTGTTGGTTCTCTTAAGAAGTTCCCTCATTTTAGAAGTAAGCAAAGGACAATAAATTAGTTCCAGTGCAGAGTTGAAGTGGTGGGAACAGTGAATAATCCAACACAGAACTGAAAGAAAAAATACTCACAGATTAGAGACAAACTTTGATATTAACCAGTAAAGATCTAACACCACCAAAGAACACCTATAAAACCTAGAAGGACCAGAAACCCCCTGGGCTCCAAAGCTGGGGAGGGGGGAGGTCTATAGGCCTCAGCCATGCCCCACTGAAGACTGCAGCCAGCACAGTAACCACCAGGCCACCACTGGAAGCACCCCAGGCTCCCAAGCCAGGGCAGTGGGGCCAAGAGCCTTAACCATGCTACCCCAACATCTGCAACCAGCCCAGTGACAACCACCACCCTGCCACCAGAAACTCCCTGGGCTCCTGTGCCTGGGCAGTAGGGGGCCAAGGGCTTCAGCCACACCCTCCTGACATCTGCATCCAGCCCGGTAACAACCAAGCCACCACTGGAAGCCCCCAGTCTCCCCTGCTGGAATGAGGGGGGTGCACAGGCCTCTACCGTGCCCCCTCCTTCCTCCTCCTCCCACCCTATTTCCCTCCCCCTTTCCCCCTCCCCCCAGTTGCTCTGCAACAACATCTTAGAATGTAAAGAAAATGATATTAAAAGAAAAAAAAGACTATGTTATGTAATTGGGAACCAATCCCTTAGTTGACTATTCACTAGATATCATGAATATGTATTAGATAACAAAATGCTAAAAGCGGAATCCCAGCAGGAGGCAGGGTTCTTGCTCACTTTCCTGGGGCCAGCCTCCACTCTGCCTGTGCAGTGTGTATTTCTTTTTGTGTTAAACTTATTTACAACAAGTGGCTGCTCACTCTCTTGAGCCAGCCTGTACTCTGTACTAAACTTTAAGTGTGGTTTTTTTTTTTAGTTTTTGTATTAAACTTGGTGTGGGCCCTGCTCAGTCTCCGGAGCTAGGCTGCACTGAGAAATCTGTGAAATCTGTATCTCATTTGTTACATTAAACCTGTTCTCACTTTCTCCCGTGACTCTGCTCTTGAATTCTTTCCTGTGGTCGAGTCAAGAACCTAGTAAGAGGATAGGGTGGGTTGAGGCTTCCCAGTCCCTCTCCTCTGGTATCATACCTGCCTATGCGAGACCTTGGCCTTGCTTGTCACTGGGGTGGAGACTTCATCCTGCTGGCAGACATGGGTGCTTAGGCCTGTTGGGACCATGATCTGCTGTCCTAGAGCTCCCTGTTTCTTTCTTTCTTTCTTTCTTTTTTTTTTTTTAAAAAAGATGACCAGTAAGGGGATCTTAACCCTTGACTTGGTGTTGTCAGCACCACGTTCTTCCAAGTAAACTAACTGGCCATCCCTATATAGGGATCCAAACCCATGGCCTTGGAGTTATCAGCACCGCACTCTCCCAAGTGAGCCACAGGCCGGCCCTAGAGCTCCCTATTTCTCAACACTCCTGGAAACCCTCTCCCACTCCTGTCTTTTCCAATCAATAATTCCCCACCACACCCCTGCAATATATACAGTATAATATGACCGAATATTCATCAACCATATAGCAGAATGTCATTGAGCTTCTAAACCTTGAAAGACTTCACATAAAAAAATTCATAATTTAGGGCCAGCCGGGTGGCGCACTGCTGCAGTGCGCCGCTTGGGAGTGCGGTGGCGCTCCCGCTGAGGGTTCGGATCCCACATACAGACCGGTTCCCGCTCGCTGGCTGAGCGAGGTGTGGGAGCAACACTGAGGGTTGCGATCCCGTTGCTGGTCCCGGTCCGGTACGGGCGTGACACTGAGGGTTGCGATCCGTTGCCGGACACCAAAAAGGACAAAAAGGAAAAAAAAAAATTCATAATTTAATAGTATTGAGTATTGAGTGAAAGAAGTCAGGCACAAAAGTGCATTCTATGTGATCTTGTTTATACAAAATTCAAAAACAGGCACATGATGATATAACGATATGAGTCAGGATAGTGGCTGCCCTTGTTAGGGGTTCTGACTAGAGGCACGAGGGAGCCTTCTGGGTGCTGGAAACGTTCTACTCCCTGATCTTGAGAGTGAGTATGCACACGTAAGATGTACAGCAAACTCTACGGTTATGACTGGTGCACTCAAGACTGACTGGTTAGCACAGTTGCTCAGAGTGTGGTGCTGATAACAGCAAGGTCTGGGTTTTGATCCCTATACTGGCTGGCCAGCTGCCAAAAAAAAAAAAAAAAAAAAAAAAAAACTTTAAAAAAAAAAATTTTTGGGCATTTTTAATTAAAATTTTAATAAAAGGGATAAAAAAAAAAAAAAAAAAAAACCTTTAAAAATAAAATGATTGGTGCACTTTAACTTACACTTCAATTAAAAGAGCTAAGTAAGTAAATAAAATATCTTCAAATTCTTAAGAGAGAGAGAGAGATTCAGAAAGAACTGTGTCCGGGCACGTGTCTGCTCCGGTTTGGGTTGGGAAGGTGGGACGGGCGTTCCCAGTCCTTCTGTCTCTGCCCCTCCCCCCATCCTGACCAAGGCCAGCACCTGAATGTCACAGTTATCAGAGCGGGCACAACAGAGGCTGCCTCCCCAGTCCCGTGATGTGACCCAGTTTCCACCTGATTCTAGGTGACCTTGGGGACACAGGGGTGTTGCTGGGAAAGGGGAGGAGAAAAGAGGCAGAGACCAGGCAGTGGAGGAGGCGTCCAGCTGCACCGCCGGGGTCTCTGTGTCTGCTGTCCCATCCCGGGAAGAAGAAAAGGCCGAGTGATTCAGTCAGTGATGCTGGTTTGAGGCCCCAGCAGACCGTGAGAAACAGGTAGTCCAGTGTCGGGCTGTCCCTGGGTCTGCTGCTGACTTTAGCCACTGCGCTTCTCCTCTCTCCTTGCCAATCCGTTTTCACAGGATAGAGCCTTCCAGGTCCCAGACTCTTGGCAACAGTATTGTTCTAGGACAGAACTCTCTGCTCTAGAATTGCTGGAGCATCTATTACAAACGCAGGTTTCTGGGTCTCAGTGGAGCAGAATCCGTGGAGGTGGGACTCAGGAATCTATATTACAAATGATTTCAACAGTTGCTCGAAATTTTAAGGACTGATCTGGAAGGTGGGAAGGAGCTTTGCTTGTTTTTGCTGTCCAGCACGCCTGCTGGGGCTGGACATTATTAGTCTCACTCCAAATGACCTTGCTGATGGCCCTTTCCAGGTTTACCTCCAAATCTAAGTACAAAATGTAGAATAATACATCTCCATGTGACCATTTTTTCATTTAAGCCCTTTGTTTTACAGATGGGGAAACTGAGGTCCAAGGTCATAGTGGGTTAGGACTGGCATCCGGGACCGACATCCTTCCCTCTAAAATTCTGGTGGCCCTTGGGGTTGGGGGCAGTGGGCGAGTGCTGCGCAGCAGGGGCGGGGGCAGGATCGAGGGTGGCTGCCTGTGTTTCAGCCTGGGCAGCGTGGATGGCTTGGCAGGCGAGTGTGCCCGAGCTAGAGGACCAGCTTCAGTGTCCCATCTGCCTGGAGGTCTTCAAGGAACCCCTGATGCTGCAGTGCGGCCACTCCTACTGCAAGGGTTGCCTGGTCTCCCTGTCCTGCCATCTAGACTCGGAGCTGCGCTGCCCCGTGTGCCGGCAGGCGGTGGATGGCAGCAGCTCCCCGCCCAACGTCTCCCTGGCCCGGGTGATCGAAGCCCTGCGGCTCCCCGGGGACCTGGAGCCCAAGGTCTGCACGTACCACCGAAACCCACTCAGCCTCTTCTGTGAGAAGGACCAGGAGCTCATCTGTGGCCTCTGTGGCCTGCTGGGCTCCCACCAGCACCACCAAGTCACTCCAGTCTCCACTGTCTACAGCCGCATGAAGGTGGGAAGGGAGGGCTGCTGGGGGCTGGGTGGGGAGTGAGGGACAGCGCCTGTGGGCTTTGGAGCTGGGTTCCTGCCCTCTCTGGTGCTGCCACCTGGCATGGACAAGAGTTCTGGGGCCAGAACTTGATTTCCCTCCATCCCTGCCCTGGAGTATCCATTCATTCACCATGTTTTGAGGAGATGCCCTAACCAGGTGCTGGGGATTACTGTGACATGCATGGTGGACAGCCCCCTGGTGTCACTTGCTAGCCCCTTCTTCTGCTTTTCCTTTGTAACCGTCGTGGTTTTTGATCGCTCCCTTGCCTGCGCTCTCAGGCACATGAGGGCGGGGACTTTGTTTTGTTCCCTGGTGTATTTCAGTGCCTAGAGCTGTGCTGGCACATAGTAGATGCTCAGTGTGTATTTGTTGAATCAATGAATTCCTACCCTCGTGGACTGTTACCCAGATCTAGCAGATCATCATTTGAGATTAATAATAGTAATACCATCTTATGTTACTAGGTTGATCTGAAGTTTATGAAGCTGTTTCATCTACACAATTTCATTTACTCCTTGAAACAATTCTGTGAGGCAGGGTGGGTGAGGTTACTATTGAATTTTACAAATGCGGGAACTAAGGCTCAGAGAAGGTAAGGGTCCTACCCAAGGTCATACAGCTTGTAAAATGGCACAGCTGGGACTCAAACCAAGGCCAGCTTTCTTTCCACTGCCGATAGGTCAAAAAAGCGCAGGAAGGGTTCCTGTTATAGGAAGGAGGGTACTTGGCATGGTGGTTGGGGAGTCAAAGTGAGGGGGACTGGAGGGTTTCAAGCAGGTTGTGATGTGGGCAGATCCCTCAGGCCAGGGGGTAGATTGGAGAGTTAGGCTGAAGGACAGAGCCAGATATGAGGATGTCAGGAACCATGTAGGTGGGACCCAGCAGGAGGCCTGGGGCAGGTGCAGGAGATACTTGGAAGACAGAAAAGAAAAAACCCTGACGACTGAATGTGGGAATGAGGGAGACAGAGGGGTCAACATCGACTCCCATGTCTGTAATTTCCCCTTGCACAGACTGAGGGAGCACGGGGGAGGATCCAGAGTGGGCAGGCAGAGCGGGAGGTGCCTGTGGGACCTGCGGTTGGGTGTGAGTGTCTGGAGGCCAGGAGCACAGAGGGGCTCTGGGCAAGAGCTGGGGAGCGGTCTACATCTGGGTGGTAATGGAAGCCACCGGAGTGGAGGAGACCAACCCTGCAGAGTCTACAGAGTGATAAGGGAAGACACTGATGACAGCCCCAGGGAGCACCAGGGTTTAAGATTTGGGTAGAGCGAGAGAGAATCCCAAAAATGAAACAGAAAGAATGGACAGAGGGAGGAGGAACACTGGCTGGGTGTGGCCTCCTGGAATCAGAGGGACAGAGAAATGAGATCACTTGCATGAAATGGCTATGGGGACTGAGAAAGGTTGGTTAGGTGTAGCAGTAAGAATTGATTGTCTTGGCAAGAGCAGATTAAGGGGCGTGTGGAAGGAGGAAGCCAATTGTGGGCGAGGAAATCGAGTCTGTGTTTTACTAGCAGAAGGGCTGCCCAGGAGAGAAAAACAGCTGGGACCTTGTCCAACCTTTCTGGGTAGGAGCCAAGGCCCAGATGGGCCCCCATTTTGAATTTGTGTTTTTATGATCCTGACTCTTCTCTGTGATGCGACGCAGAATGCACCTAAGTCACATTCCCCTATCTGCTCCCTTTCAGGCATTCCTGTTCTCTCCTATCTATCAAGATCTGGAGATACTTGACTGACTGATTGATCAGTTTGCATAATTTAGTTTCCTCTCACTGTGGCCCAGTTGATGGGAAGGAACTAGTCCCATCCCTCTCTGCCTGGGGAGAGTGGCCCCTCTTTGGCCACTGTGAGATGTTCTGATGCCTTGTTATCCAGAGCAAGGACTTCGTGTCCATTTGTCCCTACACGTGCTTTATTCTTCACTCAGCTCCCTTCCAGAAAGGCTCATACAGAGAGACTTAGATTGTTCTTGGGAACAATCTAAGCCAAAGATTCTGTACACTGCACAGGCACAACCCAGCAGGGGCTCTGGTCAAGTAGTGGAGCCAGATGGTGGTCTGGGGGTCTGGGTTGTTACTCATGAGGCTAAGTCAGGTTTGGAGTCAGGCAGCCCAGAGTGTGCAATGTCAGCCTGGAGAGGGGCAAGAGTCAAGGGCAGGGGTAGCTCTGGTCCCTACCCTGGTTCCATGGGGAGTGCTGTGGCCATTGGGATACTCTCAGGAAAGGTAAGGCCCTGGGGCTGGTCCCAAGGAGCTGGGGGGTGACGGGGCCAACTGCTTATGGGGCCCTGGCATGCTGCCCCCAGGAGGAGCTCGCAGCACTCATCTCTGACCTGAAGCAAGAGCAGAAGAAAGTGGATGAACATATCGCCAAACTCGTGAACAACAAGACCCGGATTGTCGTGAGTGCCCTTTCCCTCTGCCCCTGCCCCAGAACCGGCCACCTTCGCTGTCCTGCAGGGCCCAGTTCCAATTCGTCCTCTGCAGAAAACCAGGCCCTCCACATAAAGCCAGAATTCAAAGCATTCCAGGGCAGGGTGGGGAGGTGCAGATCCTCTCAGGGGAATTGTCAGGACTGGCTCCAAGTTGGTTTTTGTCCTCCATGTCCTTGGGACTGAGATAACCCAGGACTTGAGTCCCAGAAGTAAACAACCCAAAGTGTGGGCACAATCCCTGCCCCCGCACCATACCACCTGTGTCTGCTTGACTTTGACAACCTGTCATGGTGCCCTCCCAGTACCTGGGAGCACAGGTGTGGAAAGGCCAGAAGCCTTTGGTACTGATTTCCTAAAACTAGAGGCACCTTGGGGCTGGGAGGTGTGGAGCCCGGGCCTGGAGGTGGTTGTGAAACAGGAGCAGGAGCATCCAGTATCAGGGAGCATCGTGCACTGTCTCATTTAACCCTCCTCGCCCCGGAGGGAGGCAACATTATCCCCGTCTGAGGGAGGCACAGCTCAGGGGTCCACAGGGACTCCTGGGCTAGCGCACTCCAAAGTCTGCTCTCCCGGGGCTTTCAGATTTTTTTCAGTTGTGGAACCTGTGATGAAACAGGCAAAAGCAGAGCCATTCATTTGAAATGAGGGCTGGGGGTCCAGCCTCTCCCCTGCCTCGGGCCGCCCTACTGCAGGGCCACCTCTAGGGCTTCCCAAGCACAGTGTGAACTCCCTGGCAGGTGTCAGCCCACAGCCTCCCCTGGGACTCAGGTCTCAGAACGAGCCCCAGTCAGGAGGCCCCTGGGGACACTGAGGCCAGCCAGAGCCAGGCAGCTCAGCTGTGACTCTGCCGTGACTGGCCCTCCCTGTTCCAGAATGAGTCTGATGTCTTCAGCTGGGTGATCCGCCGTGAGTTCCAGGAGCTGCACCACCTGGTGGACGAGGAGAAGGCCCACTGCCTGGAGGGGGTAGAGGGTCACACCCGTGGCCTGGTGGCTTCTCTGGACATGCAGCTGGAGCAGGCCCGGGGCACTCGGGAGCGGCTGGCCCAGGCCGAGCGTGTGCTGGAGCAGTTCAGTAATGAGAGTCACCACGAGTTCATCCGGGTGAGCCGATGAGGGACTGTCCCCATGCCAAGGCCCAACGCCCCAGAGCCTTTCCTTTCCTAACAGTCCCCATGGTTCTGCACAGCCACCCCCTAGCCTTAACCTGCCTCTCTTGTCTTCCAGAAGTACCACTCCATGGCCTCCAGGTAATGACCTCGGCGGGAGTTGCTGGGGGAGATCTCAGCGGGTCTGGGGCTGCGGGCATGGGTATCTTGTCTCCCCTAGTTCCTCCATTCATTTTAACCAGTGCCTCCGGAGCAGCTGCCCACATCTGGCTCTGTAATCAAGCCCAGGGAACACAGATGAAAGTCATGTCCCTGCCTTCAGGGGACTCGTACATGTGGGGGGAGGCAGATGGTGAACTATGGTTACATCACTGTGGGTACCTAGAACCACAGAAGTTCATTCGAGCTACAGATATACCATGAGGAGGAGGTGATGTCTGGGTACTGACTGGCAGAGGGGCACAGGCTGACAGCTGAGAGAGGCAGAGGCAAGCAAAGTGGGGGACAGTCCCGTGAAAGGGGGAGTGGTGCACGGACTCTGGGATGTTAGGAGAAGTTCCGTGTGGCTGGGGTGTAAAGTACGATGCCAGGAGGAAGGAGAGATGAGGTGGGAGAGGGGGGGTGATGGCCAGAATGAGGGGCCTTGAAATGGAAGGGATCGGATCCATGTTCAGTCCCAACAAATGATCAATTCCTGCAGCTCCCAAGCCTTCCTCAGACAGTGCTTATGGGAGACTCCTTGTTTTCTCAAAATTCTTTGTCTTGGGGACACTTTGGTTAGGAGACATGGGATTAAATGAATGGACACAGACTCTGGCTTGCTCAGTTGGGAACAGGTGTCCCCTGGGGCTGTGGCTGGGATACAGAGAAATAGTTCTCAGACTTCAGCAAGCATCAGAACCACCTGGAGGGCTACTAAAACAGAGTAGTTGGCCCCAGTAATCAGTTTCTGATGGGCAGGTCTGGGGTGGGGCCCAAGAACCTGCATTTCTAACAAGCTCCCAGGTGATGTCGATGTTACTGGTCCCTGGACCAGCACTTTGAGAACTGCTGCTATAGAGTGCTTCCCCTTCCAGGAAAGAGGCAGGTCCTCTAAGAAGCGGGTGAGAGGGGTGGGCACCGTGTATGCACAGGCCCCAGCTATGGATTTGGCCGGGTGGACTCTCGTCGGGATGGAAGGCTGGGGTGACCTGTGTGGCACACGACTCTCCTGTCACTGTGAACTGTTGCACACAGAGCAGAGCTCCAGCAGGCCCGGCCTTTGGAAGGCACGTTCAGCCCCATCTCCTTCAAGCCGGGACTCCACCAGGCCGACATCAAGCTGACTGTGTGGAAAAGGCTCTTCCGGAAAGTTCTGCCAGGTCAGACCCCAACCCATCCTCCTTCCTGAGGGCTGCCTTCTGCCCAGGATGGGCAGCAGCTTGCTTGGGTTGGGGTGAGAGCTGGGATTCCTCCAGACAGCATAGGTTCGAGCTCAGCTCCACCTCTTCCTAGCTGGGTGACTGGGAAACTTGTATAATTTCTGAGCCTCAGGTTGCTCATCTGTAAAGAGAGGCTGCTGACACCCACCTGGCTGGGCTGCAGGGTTTGTATATACGTGTGCGTGTGTGTAGTTTAGTGCTTAATAAATGGTTGCCACAGCTCTTTGCCAAAAAAAAAAAAAATTTAACTAATTCCTTTAATACTAGCATGCTGTTTACTTGTACATAAGGGAAATCAATCAGTGGACAGATTGCATCCATCAAAGGCAAAAACAGGGTTTATATAAAAGAAAAGGGGGAGGGGGAGGGGAAATTGCAGCCTGTGAACAGTGAATCTTGTTTGCACATTTTGGGGGTAGACTGATTAGCTGGTAGCTAGCAAAAAGGTCACTTGGGATAGTTTGTCCTTGAACAGGCTGACTGGGCTAGCAAATACAACAGCTGCAGTTACTATGGACTCTGCAGAAAGCCTCGCGGCTGGGCTGAGGAGCACAGGTGACAGGCCACCTGCCAGGTCCTCCCATCAGCATCTCCACCTTGGGTGGCGGGCCTGTACCTGTCCCTAACCATGATTCCACCTTTTCCCCTCTTCAGGCATCACTCATTCACTCACTCACTCATTCATTCAGCAAACAGCCCTGTGCTGCCCTTCTAGGCCCTGGGGATCCTAAGACGAGAGGACAGTGTTCCCATCCCGTGAAGCTCGGGGCCTGCCATCGGCCTCCCGTAGGCAGGTCTGCTGCCTTCTGTGTGGCTTACCAGGCCTCTCTGATCTCTTTCTCAGACCCAGAGTCTCTCCAGCTGGACCCTGCCACTGCCCATCCCCTCCTGGAGCTGTCTAAGGGCAACACAGTGGTGCAATGTGGGCTCCTGACCCAGCGGCGTGCCAGCCAACCCGAGCGCTTCGACTACAACACCTGTGTCCTGGCCAGCCAGGGCTTCTCCTGCGGCCGCCACTACTGGGAGGTGGTGGTGGGCAGCAAGAGTGACTGGCGCCTGGGGGTCATCAAGGGCACAGCCAGTCGCAAGGGCAAGCTAAGCAAGTCCCCGGAGCACGGCATGTGGCTGATTGGCCTGAAGGAGGGCCGGCTGTACGAGGCCTTCGGCTGCCCACGTGTGCCCCTGCCGGTGGCGGGCCATCCCCACCGCATCGGGGTCTACTTGCACTACGAGCAGGGAGAGCTCACCTTCTTTGATGCCGACCGCCCTGATGACCTGCGGCCACTCTACACATTCCAGGCTGACTTCCAGGGCAAGCTCTACCCCATCCTGGACACGTGCTGGCATGAGAGGGGCAACAACTCACTGCCCCTGGTGTTGCCCCCACCCAGCAGGCCTGGCCACCTCAGCCCCCCACCTCCTACCAAGCTGTAGGGCTGCCCGTGCTGGGCACGGTGGACTCATGGGGTTCTGCTGGGTCCTGAGGTCACGTCTTCACTGTTTGGGAAGGTCTTCTTGCCTGAGTAGTCCTGGAACATTTGATGATGGGGAGAAGGACCATGACCCCTTCCCCATCAGCCAGGGGCATATTTTGTTAAGTTCCCCTCAGTTAGCAGAACCAGGCCTTGGCATCCACGGGTCACACTGAGCTCCCCCGGTCCCTCTTGGTGGCTCTCTGTGCTTACTCTCCCAACTGAGGGTGGAAACATTCCTACACATACTTTTTCCTTATCATTGTGAACTTAAAACAACTCTTAAGGATAATAAATTTGACATTATTTCTTTCTCTTTAAATGATTTTCAAATATTAGCTACTGTACATAGATACTGCTTTATGCTCGAGTCTTTTAAAGCAGCTCTAATCTCTGGTGGGGCCAGGTCTCACTTCCACGCCCTGCTCACTTGGTCTATGGTTAGAGTCACATCAACCGCTCAGTCGCTGCTCCATCTTCAGAGACCTCTCCAGTCCCCCTCTCAGGTAGATGAGATGGAAAGGACACTACTTCAAAGCAGAAGCAAGTGGGGGTCACACGGGGGTGCTGCCCAGCCCTGAAGACTGCAGGCACTGGCAGTGTGCCCGGAGGCCACATCTGATCACAGCTGATGGCCTGGTGTCCCGCAGGCCAAGGCTGGGACAACTGAATCCTCTCTCAAGAATCTGAAAATTGGAAGAGAGAATGGCTGGAGCGGAGTCACCTGAAGACATGGTGCTTTCAAGAGAAGAGGCACAGCCCTGTGCCACAGAAGCCCATGGGGCTGCCTGAGAGCCTTTGTGACGGCTCCACCCTGGTGCCTGGACATGAACCCACGCAGGCCAAGACTTGCCCCGCAGCCTGCCCGAGGGGTGTCCAGGGACAGGAGAGGACAGGAGGCTGTCCCAGGCGGGTCGTGAGGAGCCTGAGGCCTTCTGCCCTGCCTCCTTCAGAATAGAGCTGCAGACTTTGCAGAGCTCAGCTGCAGTCTAGAACTGGCTGCCCTGACAGAATGCAAAACCTCCGGCTTCCTGCTGGGTGCAGTATGGGAGGCACTGGCAGGAGATCCAGGGCAGGAGAGGGAGTTTGAGGTGCTCATTTTCCTGGTTTCCTGCCTGCTGGGCTTGGGTTGGCAGCTTCCCTCTACCAAAGACTCCCGTCAGGTGGCTCTCCTCCTGTCACTCTTCCCCTGTTCCTTCAGGCCTGGGGGTGCAGCAGTGTTGCTGGCCTGAGTACTGCATCGTCTCCTGCCGGTTCCCTTAACTTTGACTGTTCTTTCATAAAGAGTCTCTTCTTTAAACTCTCCTCTTCCTCTCTGTCTGAGTGCACCTTCCTGCCTCCAGCCAGACCCTCTGCAGGCACTTAACACATCCCTGCTTTGGTTCGGCTAGCCAGAGTTAGTGCTTGCGTCTTGCAGCCAAGAGCTCTTACCCGATACATGTCCGATAGGGAGAAAGCAGAGGAAGGAGCACTGATTTCCTACGTGCAGGTGGCATTTAGGCTGAAAGACGTGGGACACTGCAGCTGGACCAGGGAGGGCCATTGATGCTACTTTAGTACCTATGGACGTTATCCCGCAGTAATGACAGTGTGGGAGTGGGCGAGTCTGCCCAGGGAGAAAATATTAGACCGATGGGAAGGAGGTCAGAAGATGGACACCAGAACCTAAGGAGCAGCTCGGATGAGGTCGCCGAGGAGACCTAAAAATGGCCAGAGGAACGGAGGGTAGGGCAGCAGGGGGAGTCAGGGAAGCCAGAGGGGGAGCTTTACAGCAAGGAGGGTGTGCATGCAGGGCTGTGAGGCAGAGATGCGGCAGGCAAGGGCGAGAGGAAGGCTGGGGCTCCTGGTGGTGTGGAGGCAGCCATCTCAGTGGGGTGGCCTGGGAGACAGTGCAGGGACTTAAATAACAGCCTATGATGAAGAAGTGAAGGCAATGATTGCTGACTTTCCTTTTAAAAAGTTTAATGAAGGGAAGAGAACCGGGTCACGAGTTTGAGAGAAGTAGGCTGAAGGGAAGGTATATTTAGGACAGAGGAGACTCTAAACAGTGTTGCCCAAAAGAATTATGTGAGCCACATACACGATGGTACGTTTTCTAATGGCTGCATCAAAAAGTTAAAAGAAACAGGTCACCTAGTCCCCAGGTCTTGGTTTCTAATGTCATTCTCCAGTCAAAGGAACCAGGACTCCTTGGAGAAATAGCTGATTCTAGAACTGAGGCAGGAAACATACAAAGTGGGCCTTGGATATCTTGTGGTGGCAGAAAGTAAGAAAGTGCTCAAAAACAAACAAATGCAGAAAATCCACAACAAAGAGACAGACTGGAAGCCGACTGAAAGCACTCCCGATGGCCAAAACTGGAGCAATTTGAAGGACAAGATATAGCAGTCCAAAGTATAAAATAAATATCCATGAGTCCATACGAATATAAATACATGATTGAATAAATAGATGGATACGGGAGAAGAAATAAATCTGTGCAGAATTCCAATTAATGTCTGTAGACATTAAGGTCTACAATAATGTCTGTAGCCCTCAAGGACGGAAGCACAGCTCCCCACTTCTTAAGCATGGGCTGCACAAAGTGACCTCCTTCCAGAGAGTACAGTGTGGAAAGAGGGAAAAAAGAGTAACTGTAGCGAAGAAACCTGACAGACGCGACCTCGGCCAGGTGATCAAGGTCGAGTCAGCAGTGATGAGTCGTGCTGATACCATGTATCCTTGATACAATGTGATGAGACCGGCACGTCACCTCTGTGGTCTTCCTCCCCCAAATGTATAAGCCCAGTCTAATCATAAAAAAAACCCAGACAAATCCCAATGGAGGGACATTCTACAAGATATCTGACCCATACTCCTCAAAACTGTCAAGGTCATCAAAAAGGAGGAAAGTCTGAGAAACTGTCACAACCAAGAGGAGCCTAAGGAGACATGTTGACTAAATGTAATGTAGTGTCCAGGATGAGATTCTGGAACAGAAAAAAGACATTGCGTAAAAACTAAGGCAATCTGAATAAAGTATGGGCTTTAGCTCACAATCACTTATTAATATTTGTTCATTAATTATAACGAATGTACCTTACTGATGTAAGATGATAAAAATAGGAGAACCTGGGTGCAGAGCACATGGGAATTCTCTACCATCTTTTCAATTTTTCTTTTTTTTTTTTCTTCCTTTTTCGTGACCGGTAAGGGGATCGCAACCCTTGGCTTGGTGTCGTCCGCACCGCGCTCAGCCAGTGAGTGCACCAGTCATCCCTATATAGGATCTGAACCCGCGGCGGGAGCATCGCTGTGCTCCCAGCGCTGCACTCTCCCGAGTGCACCACGGGGTCAGCCCTTCAATTTTTATGTAAATTTAAAATTGTTCTAAAATAAAAAACTTACTTAGGAAAAAAAATGGGTGAAAATAATTTTAACAATAAATACCTTAATTCTATATTAGTTTAACCTAAAATATCCAAAATATACATTTCAACATATAATCAGTTAGAAATTATTAATGAGACATTTTACAACTTTTTTCATGTCCAGTCTTCAAAATTTAGAGTGCATTTTGCACTCCTGGTACATTTGGTTTGGACTGGCCACATTTCAAGGGCGCCACAGCCACATGGGGCTAGTGGGGACCATAATGGACATCTCTGCTGTAGAGGCTAAGAGAAAGAGATAATAAAAAGCAAGAGGATGAAGATTCAATATTAAGGTGAGGGGGTCACAGACGGGGCAAAGCCCCGAAGAAAGGCCATTCAAAGGGGATGTGTTTGAAATGCTGCCTCCCCAGCTCAGCTTAGGGCACTGGGTGACCAAGGGTGCAGCCTCTCTGAGGCCAAGCCTCTCCAGCAGTGCCACCCTGCCTCTGGCTGTAGCCATGAGTTTTAGTTATTAAGAGAATACACAACAGTGCTGCCATTGTAGGCTTAGGGCATCATGCAGTCACAATTTTGAATGTATTCAGCTTGCTTCTGCTGATAAGTCCTTCAACTGTGGTCGTTTTTACATCATCAACTTGGTAACCTCTGAGATTGTCAGAATAGAACCATATGACTTCCTCTGAAATGGTCATAAGAAACTCAGCATCTTGGCCAATGACATAAACACTGTCCAATCCCACCTCCGTTCTCCCAACTGTTTCATACGGTGGTGGTAGTGACATTTTAGAATGAGTGTTCACCCCTCCCCTATGGGATGGATGATGTCTATGGGACAGAAGAGGCTTGGCAGACACCCAAGTCACTAAATTCAAGGACAGTTCTACATCTCATCTTCCTTAACCTTCTAGTACCCGCTTCCTTTGTTTACCTTCCTCCTTCCTAAAGCATTTCTGTCTCAGTTGTGTTCCCTGAGAAACAGACTGAGCAAGGTTCCAGTCCATGAAGTTTATTTGGGAGTGGAGGTGGCCTGTGACACAGAGAAGTGGAGGCAGCCCGGAAGAAGTGCACTCCTGAACCAGCCCCACACTGGGCAGCTGAAGCGTAATCCCACAGGGATTCAGAATGATCCTAGGCAGAGTGAGAGCGCTGGCGTATCTATAACGCACATCTGTCAGTCATTGGTAAGGAATGCCGTAGCGGGGACAGTAATTCCCATGCAATTCTGACTCACCATGCCCATAGGCATAGCAGGTTCAGGAAGCCCCAGGGGAGCCCTCTGACAAAGATGCTGGCTCTGGCCACTGAAGTCAGACTGGACGTACAAACCTGTAAAGGGGTCTGAGGGAACGTGGGCGGGCACCAGCAGCAACTGCTACAGTTCTCTTCCCTCAGGTTCTACAATCCTGCCTTTTCTCAGTCTCCTTTGAAGATTCATCCTCTCTTCCCAGACATTCAAGTCTTGAGGGCCTTCAGCAAGTCTTATTGCCGTGTGTGCTCCCATGATTTCAATGACCACTTCTACAAGGATGACTCAGAAATTTACTCTACAGTATTGATTTGTCCCTTAAGCTCCAGATCTGGGACATCCTCCAGCCATCTGGCAGCCTCCACTTAGATGTCAAAGGCACGTCCAAATCTGAGCACATGATTTTCCTATTCTCCCATCCTCCAAACTTAGCATGTGGCTGTAGTTTCCTGTGGCCACTGTAACAGATCACCACAAACTTGGTGGATTAAAACAACAGAAATTTATTCTCTTATAGTTTTGGAGGCCAGAAGTCCAAAAACAATGGCAGGGCCACATTCCCTCTGGAGACTGTAAGGGAAAATCTGTTCCTTTCCTCTTCTACCTTCAGGTGGCTGCTGACACTCCTTAGTTTTCCTTGGCTTGTGCCACATCATTCCAATCTCTGCCTCCATCTTCACATGGCCTTCTCCTCTCCTGTATGTGTGTGTCTAATCTCCCTATGCCTCTCTCTTATAAGGACACTTGTGATAGCATTTAGGACCTACCCAGATAATCCAGAATTATCATCTCATCTCAAAACCCTTAACTTAATCACGTCTAAAAAATCTTTTCCATAGAATGTCACGTTTACAGGCTCCAGGAATTAGGACCTGATATCTTTGGGGACCATTATTCAGCCTACTACACTGTTTCCCTATCCTACCAAAAGGCATACCACCATTATGTCAATTGCTCACACCAGAAACCTGTGAGTTACTCTTGACCTGTCCCCCTTCCTGACCAAGTTCTATGGACTTAACTTTTTAACAGAGTTTAAGAGTCACACTGCCAACTTCAGCCCAACTTCATTGCCACCAACCCAGGCCAGGCCACCACTTCTTGCCTAGGTGATTGCCATGGCCCTCTCTGATCTCCCTGTCTCAACTCTGCCCTCTCAATCCTTTCCCCACTCTATAGCCAGACTGATCTTTTAAAGAAGCAAATCTGAGCATATCACTCCCCTACTTAAAACCCTTCAGTATACTCCCATTTCTCTCAAAATAGATATCAAAATCCTTGTAGCTTTTGAGGCCCTGGACCATACCTACATTACTTACTGTGTCTAGCAATACTGGCCCATTTCAGGTACCAAAATATCCCACATGCCTTCTTGATTTAGGGTCATTAAACATGCTGCTCCTCCTGAGCTAAATGACCTGAGCCTGGATGGTCTGAGTCCTAGCTCTGGGACTGATGTGGGTGCTGGTGGAGAGAATGGCAGGTGCTGTGGATCACACCTACCCGGAGCTGCTAGGACCTCTGCCATTACACGGAAAAAGACTGTCTGAGAATAGAGCCATCAGAGAACACACGGCAGAGGAAGACAGACAATGAATTCAGAGACACGTAACTAAACAAGATAAATTTAGGTTCTAATTTGAAAGCTTGCTGATGACATTGGAGCCTCTAGATCCAGGCATGCCTGAACCTGGTGCCCCAACCCCCCAACACCTGGACTTCCTATTCATGTGAGCAAATAAGCCTCCTCTCCCTTTTGTCTGTTTTAATTAGCTGGGCGTCAGTTACTTGCAACCAAAGGAGTCCTGACCAACTCGGAGGTCACCTCTGGATATGTGGACAAGAGTGTCTAGATCCCATCACATAAGACTTTGATAGAGGGATGTTTTGTTGGCCTGTTTCTTTGACATGTAACAGTAAGTAAACATCTGCACAAGCCAACAATCAGCTTTACCCCATTTTATTTCCATCTACACCTGTTACCCGCTCACCTGTAGGAGGTAATACTGTTTTAGGATGAGTCAACTCTGGTGCGACTGGTCATCCAACATCAACTTGTGCTCATTCATTCATTCACTCCTTCACTCTTTCAACAGATATTTATTATATTAGGTCCTTATTGTGAGAAACACATTGGTCTAGAAGGTAGGGATAGATCAGTGTCAAGACAGACAAGGTCTTTGCCCTCATGGAGTGAGCTGGGGAGACAGACAAGAAACCATAAATAAGTAAACAAGTAGATATGGAGTAGGTGATAAATAAAACAGATGATGTGATTTGATGTGGGAGGGCCCAGTGTATCACTTAGGAGACAGACAAGAAACCATAAATAAGTAAACAAGTAGATATAGAGTAGGTGATAAATAAAACAGATGATGTGATTTGATGTGGGAGGGCCCAGTGTATCACTTAATCAACCTAGAAGTACAGAAGGAGCTGGTTGAAACTTTAAGTAGCTCAGCAATTTTAATGTAGACTAGAGTCAATCCTCTTGCAAAATGCTTGCTGATGTGCTATCAACAATAGAGATGGCAGGCAGGAATATTCTATTCCATGGAGGCCTTTCCACTTGAATGCTTGAGATACATTTATATGGGTTTTATTCACTTTGTTCAACCAACTTATTATGTACCAGTAACCTCAACAGATGCTGTGAACTGAGACAAATACCACACAATCCCTGTCTTCCCAGGGTTCAGACTGGTGAAAACCTTCCCATAAATGAATCATTACAATCAGTGGATGAAAGGTAGCAATGTGGAAACAACATACAGCCCTTACTCACATCATATACCAAACTGAATTCTAAATGGATTAAAGATTTAAGTGCAAAAAAAAAAGAAGCCATAGAGATTTCTATACTGTAGTGGTGTAAAAAGGTTTCCAAGCATGACTTCAAAAGCAAACACCATAAAAGATGTCCAAAACAAACATAAACCACATTAAAAGGCAACAATAAATTGGAAAAATCTGCAATACCTAACACAACAGATATATGTTGTTAATACATAAAGGACACTAAGAAACAGACGGTGGATGAGTGAGCAAAAGACACTAATATGTGGTCATAACAGAAGAAATACAAATGACCAATAAATATGTGAGGATATTCAACCTCAATAAAGAAATTAAAACCAATAAAGTTCCATTATTTGCCCATCAGATTGGCAAAGATTGAAAGAAAAAAAGCAAAGAGCTAGCGAAGGAGTGGCAAAACGGGCTCCCAAATTCGCACTCCACACCATGACATGCGTATGAATCACACAAGCCACTGTGCGTCCCGGTCCTGCAAGGCTCGTGCCCTTTGACACCGGAAGTCCGGGCGGGCAGGCGTAGAGCAGGGCGCGTTTTGCGACAGAGCCGTAAAGGCGCGCGGGAGCAGGAGTATGGCGCTGTACGCGGCAGCGGCCGCCGTGCTGGCGGGCGTGGAGAACCGCCAGGGCTCCATCAAGGGGTTGGTGTATGCCAGCCGCTTCCAGGTAGCGGGGCCCGCACTCAGGAAGTTGTGGGAGGACGGTCCCGGGAGGAGCGAGTGGGGGGACTGGCCCAGGTGGGGAGTTGGGGGTGGGGTCCGGAGCGGGTGACCAGCCCGGTCCCCGCCCCACGTGTCTCCCCTCGTTCGCGCGCAGAACGTGAAGCAGCTGTACGCGCTGGTGTGCGAGACGCAGCGCTATTCCGCCGTGCTGGACGCCGTGATCGCCAGCGCCGGCCTCTTCCGTGCCGAGAAGAAGCTGAGACCGCACCTGGCCAAGGTGACGGGCGGGGCGGGGCGGGGCGGGGCGAGGCGAGGCGAGAGCCCCGAGGATCAGGGGTCTGTAACCTAGTCCCTACTTTGCTGCCACGCACGGCGTGACTTGAGCAAGTCTCTCATCTGAAATGGGTATGAGCAACCCTCACTACTACAAATTTTGATGAAATCAGACTGCTTTTAATTTTGAGCCTTGTGTGAAGGATTAAATAAGAACAGAAGTACAAGGTAGCAGTGACAGGTACTCTTTAATTAAACGAAAGGGTAATTTTGGCAAGGAGAGGGTTGGGGTCCACCGCTCTGCTGGTGAGCAACCACAGGGAAATGGTCCAGGACTGGGAAAGAAGACACCAGGTTCCGATTCTGTGTCTGTCGTTAATTTCTTGTGTGATCTTGGACGAGGTACTTTTCCTTTACCCGTAACCGCCTGGACAGATGGTCAGTTTAGCCCTTCCAGTTCCAGCATTCTAGAGTTCTGAGGCATTAATGCCTAGGTTCTTTTGTCTTTGTTTCCCCATCCCCAGGTGCTAGTGTATGAGTTGCTGCTGGGAAAAGGTTTTCGAGGAGGTGGGGGCCGATGGAAACCTCTGCTTGGTCGGCACCAGGCGAGGCTCAAGGCTGAGTTGGCCCGGCTCAAGGTTCATCGGGGCGTGAGCCGGAATGAGGACCTGTTGGAAGTGGGATCCAGACTTGGCCCAGGTGAGCTGGAAGGAGTGGTGGGGGTTGAGGACGGCCATTTGGTCCTCAGACAGAGGGCCATTTTCTTGCCCACTCACTGCTGCTTGCTTCCTAGCCTCCCAGGTGCCTCGATTTGTGCGCGTGAACACTCTCAAGACCTGCACTGATGATGCAATCGATTATTTCAAGAGACAAGGTTTCTCCTACCAGGGTCAGGCTTCCAGGTGAGAGCTGCCCGGCTGCCCTCATGCAGGGAGGTGTCTGGGGGCACTGGAGAACCAGGGATACGTGGGAATAGAGAGGTTGCAGTTGCACTCTCTAGGTTTTCTTCCTACCTTTCCAGCAGTTTCTCCATGTCCTTCCAATACCTATTTTCCTGCCATCCCTTAAACACTGATACTCCTGGGAGTCCCATCCTACATTCTTCTAATGTATCCCTCAGTTTTTTCTCTGGCTCTAACTCCTTCCTCCCACCTGCTGATTCCTGTCTCCCAGTCTTGGCTGATACTCCTGGGAGTCCCATCCTACATTCTTCTAATGTATCCTTCAGTTTTTTCTCTGGCTCTAACTCCTTCCTCCCACCTGCTGATTCCTGTCTCCCAGTCTTGACCTCTCTCTTGTATTCCTATCCCCTCAGGTTCATATGAATTCTTCACAAATACCACAATTGCTGCCTGTGTCAAACTGAATTCATTGTCTTTCCTCTCAAACACTACTTTCTGATTCTCTATTTTATTTTTTTGTTCTTTTTCTTTGCGGGCTGTCAGTATGGGGTTCTGAACTCTTGACTTTGATGGAATAACACCACGCTCTAAATGACTGAGCTAACTGGTCAGTCCTGCATCCCCTATTTCAACCTAACCAGTGTTCCCATCATCCACCCATTTGGTCATGTCAGCAACTTAGTCATCCTAGATGCTTCCTTTCTCTCTCTACAGTCATTTATTACTCTATCTTTAGTGTCTTTCTCAAATCCACTACTTTTTTCCCCCATCCTCTTGGACATTGCTTAGGTTTAGGCCTCCATCATTTCCTATCAGGATGGGCACAAGAATCTCCTAGAGTGGTTTCCCTACTTCCAGACTTTCACGTTGCATTTCCTTCCTCATGGTTGGTTGCAGGAAGATCTAAACCCAGATCTGATACTGTTATTCCCTGCTGAAAACCCTTTCTTGGCTGTCCATCGTCCTGTGCCTCTGCTTCCTCTCCAGGCCCATCTACCATGGTGCCACATGCACTGGGTGTTCCATCCACAGTTGCTGGTCTCTGCCCTGATGGTTCCTTCACCCCTCCACTGTACTCACACCTACCTCCTATTTTATCCTTTGACAACTCTGGGAAGCTGCCTCTGCCTAATGCCTTTTCCCCAGTCAGTTTTAGGTGGTCTTCCTTTAGCCTCTAGCATGTTGCTTGGAGACCAAAGTGAAATAGTAGAAAATGGCTTTGACTGGGTTTCAGTTCCAGCTCCTGCCACTTGATAACTTTCTGAATGGAGACGTGTTACTTTCTAGGCCTGTTTCTGCATCAGTCAGGTAGAGTGGACAGTACTACTTTGCAGAGTTATAGTGAATGTGGCTTTAACCTCAGCTGCTCACATTACTGATTCCTCATCCATCAGCTCAGCTTTTACCTCCCCTGCAACCCCTACTCCCCATAAAGTAACCTCTCCCCAAGGTTATGCTTTAGCAGTAATGGCATAAATGGCTTAATTTGTGCCAATCAGTATTTATTTATTTATTTTTAAATTTTTATTGAATCAAAATTGATTATACGTTTTGGGGGTTCAACATTGAGATATCTTGACCAAATCAATATTACTAGCCTATATATTGTTACAAATCATAATTATTCTTTATGCCCCTTGTCCAATCTCTCCCCTTCCCCTTCTCTCTCCCTCCTCCCCCAACTAATTGCCCTAGATTTCTTCTCCAAATTTCTTCTCTCCTTCTGAAAGAATAATGGTTACTCTGTTGATTTGTTGCCTAAATGATCTGTCCAGTGCTGAGAGGTGTGATCAGGTCCCCCAATATTATTACAGAGCAGATGCTTCTTTTGTCACTCTGAAATGGGCTTTGTGAAGAAAGACATCCTCTTCTTTTTTTTTTTAATCTCTGCTGGTGACTCTCCTTGTGTCAATGCAATCCAGTGGCTGGCAGATCATCTGCATGGTGGTTCTGGCATCTAGCCACTTTTGTGGCATCCATAGTTATTGTGGTGGCTGTTGTGGGCCACCCACGTGGAGGTGATGTTTTTGGCATGCTCCTTGGTGCTTTCAGTGTGCCTGGTTGTGGGGTGTGTCTGTTCCCTGGCTCCATACCTCAGATCCCCAGATGGGCCCCGAGGCACTGGCATGTTGTGCCTGGTTGTGGGACGGGGGTCTGTTCCCCGGCTCCCCAGGAGGGCCCTGAGGCACTGGCACGGTGTGCCTGGTTGTGTGTGGGGGGGTCCGGTCCCCTTCTCCATGCCTTGGGTCCCTGGGCAGGCCCCAAGGTGCTGGCATGGTATGCCTGGTTGTGGGAGGGGGGTCTGGTCTCTGGCTCCATACCTTGGGTTCCTGGGTGGGCCCTGAGTGCTGGTGCAGTGTGCCTGGTTGTGGGAGGGGGTTCCAGTCCCTTGATCTGTACCTTGGGTCCCTGGGCAGGCCCCGAGGCACTGACATGGTGTGCCTGGTTGTGGGTGGGGGGTCCGGTCCCCTTCTCCATGTCTTGGGTCCTCGGGTGGGCCCTGAGGCACTGGTGCAGTGTGCCTGGTTGTGCAAGGGGGGTCTGGTCCCCTTCTCCATGTCTCGGGTCCCCGGTGGGCCCTGAGGCACTGGCATGTGTGCCTTGTTGTGGGATGGGGCTCTGGTCCACTTGGGACCTGGGCAGACCCTGAGGTGCTGGCTCAGGGTGCCTGGTTGTGGGAGGGGGGTCCAGTCCCTGGATCCACACCTTGGGTCCCTGGGTCGGGCCCAAGGCACTGGTGGTGTGCCTGGGCCAGAACTAATTTTTTGTACTTCTAACACGGGGGAACTTCCTGTGGGAACCAGTACTTGACCTGTGTGGTTGAGCTAAATTGCTGCTTTGCTGCTGTTTCCCTAGGGAAGGCTTTTTGTGCAGCTCAGGGTTTAATAGTTGACCTTAAAGGTATTTCCAGCTCTCCAGAGACTGGGTGCACCTGGGTTGTGCAGAAACTCTGATCTGGGGCCGGCCCGGTGGCGCACTGCTACAGTGCACCGCTTGGGAGTGCGGTGGCGCTCCTGCCGAGGGTTCGGATCCCACATACAGACCGGTTCCCGCTCACTGGCTGAGCGAGGTGCGGGCAAGACACCGAGGGTTGTGATCCCGTTGCTGGTCCCGGTCCGGTGCGGGCGCGACACTGAGGGTTGCGATCCATTGCCGGACACGAAAAAAAACAAAAAGGAAAAAAAAAAAAAAAAAAAAAAGAAACTCTGATCTGGGCCTGAGTTTTTTTTTTTATCAAACTGCACCCCATGCAATTCTGCATTCCCTACCAGTCTCCTCTGAGTGGTCCTGTGCTGATTGGGGGGTAGATAGGCTGTCCTTGCTGTACCCCAGTGTTCTCCCAGTGGGCCCATCTCTCCCACCACCTGTGTTCCAAACACTTCCCATGGGACAGGCACTGCACCGGTCCCTTGCATTGACTCACCGGCCTCTGAATGGCTCCCCTTTTTCAGTTATTCTGGCTCCTCACTCCTGTGTGGGTCCATGGGAACCCTATTAGTGGTCTTGCTGTCCTGGGGGCTGCTAAGGCCCTCTTCTCCCCTGCCGCCTCCAAGCAACTCCATCCAAAGGGCACAGCTCCAGCTTCTGCCGGCTTCTGCTCCATGTGCTCAGCACCTCCAGCCTTAAAGTGGCCACAGCCTGAAACACTCTGAGCAGTTTTTTCTTTCTCTCATTGTGGCTTCTCCCGCCTTCATGAACTCCATAGGTCTCTCTTCCTCTTCCCCTGAGCTCCAGTGGCCCCAGCTTGGCTGTTGTTACATTTTTATAGTTGTAAATTGGTTGATTTGTGGGAGAGAGTGAAGCTGGGGACTGTCTATTCCGCCATCTTGACTGGAACTCCCCAATAAGTATTTTGAACGTATTAACTTGTTTAATCCTCACACTTACCATTTTACAGAAGTGCAAATTGAGGTTTAAAAAATGTTTTTACATTTATATATTTTTTATCAAGGTATAATTTATGTAAAATAAAATGCACAGATTTTAGATGTACAGTTTTCTGTGTGTTATGATGAATATATACACTGAGGTAACTGCCACCCTAATTAAGATGAAACATTTCTATTACCCCAGTAGATTTGTGCCTCTGTTCAGTTCTTTCCACCACATGGTCAGCCACTAATCTTTTTGCTACTGTAGTATTTTCTGCTCTGAGAATTCATATAAATGGGACCATACAGTAGGTAGCCTTTTGTGCCTTTTTTCCCTTCACTTAATGTTTGCGAAATCTGTGTTCTCCAGTTCATTCCTTATTGCTAAAAAATATTTTCTATGGGAATCATTACAAATTACTACAATATGTAACCTTTTGTGTCTAGCTTCTCTTTCTACTTTGTACAGATGAAGAGCAAAAGAATCAGAATTGAAGCTTAGAGAACAAACTCAGGATTCCAAAATGGGATAGAGGCAGTATATGTTAGGATCTTGGCAGCAGCCAAAATGGACTGTTTTGTGGTCAGAGTGGTCTGTGGGGACCTTAAAACTGGAACATAAGCTGAATTGGAATAAGGGTGCCAGATGATCTGTGTAAACTAGGGCTTCAGGATAGGCACCACTGGGGGATCTGGGAGGTTTGTCCATATTTCTCTGGGAAGGACTGGTAACTTTCTCCTCAGGTAATTGCTGTGGTTGAGCTTGTTCAACAGGAGTGCATTTTGCTTTCTTGATCTTTGCTCTGTGGCTCTTGAACCAGACCTGCACTACTGTTGGATGTATGTTCATTTTTGAAGCCATTTCTTTCTGAAGGCCGGGGTTTGGATATGGGCTCTTATTAAACAAGAGGTTCAAATCTTGCGTTTCGTTCTCAGTGAACGTAGTTCCTCCCCTTTGTGGATGCTTCTGGTGCTTGCCTTTAGGAAGGTCCTCTGAGCCTGACATCTCATCTTTATGTGCTCCTACATTCAGGTTGCAAATTGAGATTAGAGAGTAGATAGCCCATGTTCCTGTTGCTGCTGGTAAATGGTAGAGGTGGGATCCTGAACCCATTCTCTTAACTACTGATTCCGCTGCCTCTGTCTTATCACCATGTATATTTCTTCATAGCCATTTTGAATATTTGATGCATGAATGAACAGTTTAAGTGGGGCCTGGCATGGAGGAATTGAGAAAACGTCAAATTCATGGTTCTTATTCCCCGTCCCACCTCTTCCATGGCAGCCTCGAGGACTTAAGGGCCCTCAGGGGGAAGCGTTTTCTTCTGGATCCCTTGTTGCCAGAGCTGCTTGTGTTTCCTGCCCAAACAGATCTGCATGAACATCCACTGTACCAAGCTGGTCACCTTATCCTACAAGACAAGGTAAGGAGGATGGGTGGGAAAGGGAAGAATGTGTGGGAGAGGGACCAGCCTGTGGTCTCTTCACAGCTGCTGTGCTCTGTCCTGCCAGGCCAGCTGTCTCCCAGCCATGCTGCTGGCTCCTCCACCAGGTTCCCATGTCATTGATGCGTGTGCTGCCCCAGGCAATAAGACCAGTCACTTGGCTGCTTTTCTGAAGAACCAAGGGTGAGTGCCATGGTCAGGGGAGGAAGGGGATGGGATCTGATACTATACTTTGTAGGAAGAAGTAAGGTGCTCATTATACTAATAGGTAATGAAGGCTGAAAGGACAGCTTTCTCTTAGCTATTTCCTTCTAGACCTAGGACAGTTCATGGTACAGCTCCAAGCTAAGCTTCCCAGTGAGTTGCAGGTATGAGATAAGGATCCCTTAGCCCTTGGGGCAGTCCCCAGGCCAGATAATTCTGATCATGGACCCTTATGTGTCCCAACTTAACGTATATATGCTGTTGTTGTGTATGTCAAGAGCAATGGGCCTTTAGATGCCTCCATAAATTTTCAGTTTACCCCAACTTTCCCCTCTTCCATAGGAAGATATTTGCCTTTGACCTGGATGCCAAGCGGCTGGCATCCATGGCTACTCTACTGGTCCGGGCTGGAGTCTCCTGCTGTGAGTTAGCCAAGGAGGACTTCCTGGCAGTCTCACCCTCAGACCAGCGTTATCGTCAGGTCCAGTACATCTTGCTGGATCCTTCTTGTAGTGGCTCTGGTGAGATGGGGGGAAAGAAGTGTGGCTGAGGGACTCCCAGATCCAAAGCAGTCTAAAGCTGAAGGAGCAGTTCATTTTGGTCACAGTTCTCTTTAATGCAAGATCCTGGGAATATGTTCTCATCTGTAGAGTGGAGATTTCAGTACAAAATAAGGCAGTCTGTGAAGCTACATAAATAAAACCCTCTTTTCTATAGGTATGTTGACCAGACAGCTGGAGGAGCCCGGGGCAGATACACCTAGCAAGGAACGCTTACATGCCCTGGCTGGGTTCCAGCAGCGAGCTCTCTGCCACGCGCTCACTTTCCCCTCCTTGCAGCGCCTTGTCTACTCCACATGTTCCTTCTGCCAAGAGGAGAATGAAGATGTGGTACGAGACGCCCTGCAGCAGCAGAGCCCAGGCACCTTCAGGTGATGGGTGTCCACTAGGGTTGTGAGGAGGAGGGAGAGCTGAGCTGCTCTTTTACCTAGAGTCTGTGCTATTTCTTCTTGCAGGATAGCTCCTGTCCTACCCTCCTGGCCCCACCGAGGCCTTAGCACTTTTCCAGGTGCTGAGCACTGCCTCCGAGCCTCCCCTGAGACCACGCTCACTGGTGGCTTCTTCATTGCTGTAATTGAACGGGTAGAGGTGCCGAGGTGAGTGACTAGGGGTCTGCTTGGAAGATGCTGGATCACTGGAGCACATCTAATTTCTATACTTTTTCTCCTAGCCCAGCTTCACAGGCTGAAGCACTGGCACAAGAACTTATACCCAGCCCAGCCCCGAAGAGAAGGAGGCGGCAGCGAAAAGCAGTGGCTGGTCGTAGCACGCTGCCTTGCACGTAGCAGGTGCTCAAGGCTTTGACTTCTTGCTGGTAGGAAATGAAGACACCAGCCCTCTCCTCAGCTGAGAACCCTTGGACCCTCACACTCTAGCAGTTTGGTTTTTAAAGGTTATTTTTATTGCTGCAGGAAGTTAACTGGTAACCCTGTTTCTCCAGCTAGACAGTGTACATTTCTTAGTCCTTTGAGTCCCTTCCCAGGGCTGTGTTCCTGCTGGTGAGAGAAGCACTGCCCGCAAAAATAAAAGGCAGAACATGGTCTATGATCGATCACAGTTTTTTATTCTTAATGACACAAGCAAGGAGAAAAATCTCACATTCATACTAAAAATTCCAATTAGACTCAACAGGAATTAAGTCTTTATTTGTAATGGAAAGTCCCAGCCTCTCATTGCTGTCCAGTGCACGTACATGTACACATACACACTCAACACACTCACATGCAGGCTGTGCCAGGACACCCTCTTTAGGGGGTTCCTGGACCTACTGTCCTGCCTGGGGAACTGAGGTAAACTAGCTCAGAGTACTAAAACTAGGAGGATCTACCTTACGTAAGGTATAGGTAGAAGCTTGATTCTATACCCGTGCCCACCCCCACCCTCCAATCCTATCAGGTAGTTGAGACTTGAGGTTCAGGCTCCTTCCCTCAGCTCCACACACAGTTAGGTATTAATAGGTCAGACTTCAGAGCTCTTCTTGGGGGTGGGGGAGGAGCAGTCCCTTGCCACAAAACGTTCAACCTCAGTCACAAAGGGGAGGAGGGACTAGTTACATCTACATCACATTATTTATAAAATAAAAATTACATTTTGAATAACGTGTCTGGAAAGAGCTCTAGTCCCTCAGGAAAGCTGCCTGGGACAGCACTTGAGCCCCTTCTTCACACAGGCTTAACTTTTAACTTAACTGTACAGCTAGTTCCTAGTCAACAGCGTTTATGCTTAACCACCTCAATGAACCAAGCTTGAAGGAATTTAAAAGGCAATTTAGCTTAAATACAAAAATAAATTTTTATTTTGTTAAAAAATGTTTAAATATTTTTTTTTTCTTTTAATTTAGACACACGCATTCATACTTCTCCCAAAGAGGATGGACATGGCAGCATGGCTCTTAGACCTGGGGCATGTTGACTGGCAGAAAAGGGGAAGGGTTGGGGATAACAGCTGAGATACAATTTTAAAAGTATGGTTCATTAATTTAGGTTTCCTAACATATACTAGGCGTGATCTAGCCCACACTGAAGTCAGATAAATGGGAGAGAAATAGCAGAGGGAAGAGGTCTTTGCTTCCCCTGGGCCCCATCCTCCTGGGCTGCCAGCCCTTAAAGTCAAAACACCATTTGAAAATTCAGGAGTCAGCACTTGTAGCCATAAAGTGGAGCTACTTTCCACATTCAATTAGCTAGGCCCCAGAAAACTTGAAACAGTTAAGTCCGGCACTACCAACATGCCGCCACTCATACAATTAAATTCTTCCTCCAAACTCGATTCAAAGAGCAATAGACATGAGGGTCAGACAAAGTAACACAGGACAAGGCTTGAAACGTACAATCCCGGAGAGGCAGATGATGGCCCAATGAGGCAGCGGGGTAGGGTGGCGAGGAAGCAGCTGAAACTCGTGGGCATCCTGCCTGCTCCAAGAGCTTCTCTCTCCCACAGTGAGGTATCTCACCCCTGGATCTGCCAGGCTTAACAGTCTGGAGCCACCAGGCTTTTAGGGACCAAACTGGCAGAGGGTTTGGAGATGAGACAGTGACTCAGACTTGGCAGGAGGAGATGGAATGGCAGGAGCAGCACCCACTAGAGTCTCCAAGGCAAAGCTAGATTCAAGATCATTTTAAAAGGAATAAATTCTGCAAGGAACCAGTGAGGGGTAAAGCAGCAAGAAATGGGGAAACAGTCCCCTAAAATGACTAGAAGAAGAGAATCATAGCCAAGCCAAGCAAGGTAAAGCTTTTGGGATAAACCATTTCCCCCAATCCGATCAAATGCACACTGGATATCCAGGTGGGTGGTACCTTACACCTTCCAGGAAAGATGGCTCTTCAGGGAAAAGGCAGGAAGGGAGGCCACCTGACTAAGGTTATACACTAAACAACTGTCAGGGAAGTAAACAGTATGTACAGATGTTTCTTTAGCTCTCACCAGTGAACTGTTCAAGTAAAGGTATCAGACTTCTGCCCAGCCATATCCTGCCTCTCCCTCTCTGAGGTTTCTGCTTCCTCCAGAAGGGAAAGGGGCTGCCATTACCCTGCTGGTGGCTGAAGCCAGAGATCTTGGGTAAGTTTGCTTTATGGAACTTGAAAGGTCAGAGGCTCTTCCTAGCAGGTGCTGAGGTCCAGATCTGGGTGGTGGGGTGGGGGAGGGTACAGGGGCAAGGGACAAAGGCTATTTCTTGCGGGTGTGCTGCCTTCGGGCCTGCAGTCGCTGTCGGGCCCCTGGGGTCTTGGATCCCGCACCAATGGAAAACGAAGGGGCTGCTGATCCTGGAAAGATTCAACAAGATCTCATCAGAGCAGCTGCTACCTGAAGAAATATCTCTGGGTGCCCTAATCTCTGGAAAGTTAGGCTGACACTAGAATACTGGGTGCTTGAATAGGGCTCCCAAGCTGCATCAGAAGCAATGTGTGGGAAGAGCCTATTAAAAATGCAAAATCCCAGAAAAAATCTGAGAGGGAGGCCCACAAGTCCATTTTACCTGGCTTCCTAAGTGATTTGGGAACTTCTACCAGAGATGGCTCCTTTCTCATCTCTGCCGTTCAACCCAATACCTGGGCTGCGCTGGGCTCCCAGCTTGACCACATTTTCCCCATGCTTATAAGCCTGAGAACCAGGAAATTGCCACCCCATCCTAACCCCTTCCTCAGAGAGGAGATGAGCAGGTCACACTGGCAACAGAGACTTGCTGCTTACCGAAATGTCTGACTCCAACAAAGCCTTGGGTGGGTGTTGAGGACGCCCCAAAGGAGAGGCTGTTGCCTGATGTGCCCACTCCAGGGGCAGGGGTGTTCTGACCAAAGGTGGGTGTGGAGGTACCTAGAATGAAGAGACAGCAGAGAGCTGTAGAGACTAGGCTGATGAGCAGAGGGTATCAAAGCAGATGGCAATGAGCCTAGGTGGGAGGTCTGCTCTCCACAGGGGACAGCACTTCTCACAGGATACCTTGGCCCTGGATGACCCTTTCTGATTCACACCAGCATAGCAATTCCAAGAGATAATTAAGTCTTAACACCTGGTGCTCCAGGTGAGCCCGCCCTTCTCCTGGCCTGCTATCTGCTGTGCTGCAGCACAGAAAAAGTCTTTCAATGCTGCCTTCTCCTGGTCACCTAGGAATCAGGCCTCTGAATTCCCCTGGCCACCACACCCCTGCAGAGAGAAACACTCAACGGACTCCCACTTCCTAGCTTGACCAGGTTACCTCCCTTCTTCCATCAGGACTAATTTCATTATACCTCTTCTCCCTGGATTACCTGTCCCCTCCCCTCCAGAAGCTAGATTCTTCCACCAAACTCACCACTCCACCCTGCTGGTCCCCTAATCTTCCCATGGTGCCCTGTGGAACTCAGTCACAAGTAAACGCCCTTCCCCGCACCTTGCCCTAACTGAATTCTTGCTGTCCTGGAGTGACTGCTTTTCCTACACTTGTCTCCAGGATGGCTGTTCTTTCATGTACACATGTCTCAGGGCCTAAAGAGGAGTAGGTACCTTTCTTTGCTCTCTGATGCTGCTTCCAAACCATTTCTCTTCCCTCCTCCTTCAAACACCTCAACTCATTTGAAGTTCAGCTCATTAGACTTCATTATAATCAGCTCCTTGTCCTTGTTAGTGTAATCTGTCAACTGCAGGTCACTCCCTTTTATTCACTGAGGACACCTGGCTTACTGTCATCTTCCCCATCACCATTCTTGCTGAATTCATCACCTGTGAGGATGACTCATAAAACCCTCAGTCCCTTAATCTTGCTGCCCCAATGATCTTTTCTTCTACCCCACCTCTGTCACTCCTGTGGTCACACCTTGTCACCACCAGGAACTGCTCCAGCTCTCAAACTGCACTACAAGCACCAGGCTCTTCCTTCTAGCTCCCTTCTTCAAGTCTCCCCCTGCATCTCCTCACCCTCACCAAGGCCTGCAGTCCGCTGCCCTTCCTGACACACTTGCTTGAACTCAAACAGGTTGGGTTTTCCCAGCTATCTACTTATTTCAGGTCTACACCTCAACAACTGGATGTTGCTGGAGAAAAGCACAATGCTGACTGGCCTCACTTTAAATTCATAATCACAATTTTCCAGTCTACAAAACTGCCTGGCAAATCTATGACACTTTCCGATATTATGTTTCTTTCTCCACTGTCCAAAATGACTGTGTCAAGAGGCCCTGCTTTTACACATTTTACCCTAACCCATGCCCCAAGGTCTTCTCTCATATTTAATGAAGGAAACAGAAGCTACCACAGTCAAAATTCATCATCACATGGCAAATAAGATCATTCTTCTGCTTGAAATTCTAGAATGATATCCTTTAATATTTAAATCTAAACACCAAACCCTGGCCATGAGTGATCTTCAAGTCTCCTTGCCTTTCAACCTCCTTTTATATCATTTACCCCACTTTGACCTCTAGCCATGCTTGCCTTTTTCTCTGCTCATGAACAGATAGAGCTTTCTGCCTGTGGCTGCGCTTGCAGTGGGCGTGCATGTACTCGCTCTCTCACATCCATGCATCCCCACCCCTACTCCCAACTCAGCTTTATCATGAATATACTCTTGACTTAATTTTGCTATTTCCTCAAAAGAAAGGCCTCCCTTGACCACCTGAATCCACAATGGTTCCTTCAAAGTTAATTATTTTTTCAAAACATTTATCACTATCTGACATTGAATTTATTTCTGTATTTGTCTCTTTCTCCATGACCATAATGAAAGCTCCTGAAGAGCGGAGACTGTGCTAGCACTGAGAACAGTGGCGGGCCCAGCGGACCAAGTGCATTCCCAACCTTACCTCCAAACACAGGCTTGCTCTCAGGCGTGCTGGCCACATTGAAGGCAAAGGGTGTGGTCTGGCTAGATGTGCCCAGGGTGTTCTGACTCAAGCCTCCGCCAAAGGGGGTGGTGGTGCCTGTGGTCCCACTCTGTCCTGCTCCAAAATTAAAAGCTCCAGAGGTGGAGCTGGTGCCTGGGGTAGCCACATTGATCCCAAAGCCCCCACTGCCAGTTGGGGCTGCCGATCCCCCAAACGTGAAAGGTGATGGAGTTGTGCTGCCAAACACTGAGCTACTGGTCCCACTGCTGATGGTTTGGGTTGTAGCTCCAAAGCTAGAGGTGGTGGCTGCACTAAAGGAAAAAACAGCTGTGGTGCTGCCAAAGGCTGGCTGGGTGCTGGCAGCAGTGCCAAAGACAGAGGCTGTGGTTTTCAAACCACCAAATGCTGACTGTGTAGCGCTGCCAAAGGCTGGCTGGGCTGGGGTTGGTGCTGGAGTTGCAGTTGGGGCTGGGGCTGCAGAGTTCCCAAAAGTAAAAGAGCTGCCAAAACTTGGGACAAGAGCAGGCTTGGTTGCCCCTTGCTGCTGCCCATCAGTGGCCCCAAATGCAGGCTGGGGGTTGGCTCCTGGATACAGTGGAAGAGGGGGCTTGGTGCTTGAGCCAAAGGGAATGTTGAACGCTGGGGTGGTCGTGTTACTGAATGTCAGCGTAGGCTGGCTGGTGGTGACCGGGGCTGAGGTTGTAAGCGTGCTGCCAAAACCACTAAAGCCGGCAGTGCTGCTGCTGGTGGCTGTCTGAACAACACTGGGAAGGGACTGGCCAAAGGTGGTGACTGTTGTTGATGTGGGCATGGCAGGAGGCTTGCCAAATTGGAATATGGAGCCCATGGCTGGGGTAAAGCTGGCACCAGAGGCAGGCGGAGCCCCAAACAGGAAAGGCTGTGAAATAGAAGTAGTGGTGCTAGTCACGCTGCCCATGGTGCTGGTCACACTGTTTATACCAAAGCCAAAAGCAGGCTTCGAAGCAGAGTTGGCGGCTGTACTGGCTGTGGTAATAGAAGCCACTGTAGTGGTGGCAGTGGCCAGGCCAGTGAAGAGAGGGGCCGTTGTGGCTGCAGCAGTGGCTGAAGTAGTTGTTTGCTTGAGGGAGAAGGGAGTTGATAAGGGCACAGACGTAGGTGGCCCCAGGCTATCAAAGATGGGCTTGAAAGTCAGGGTTGAGGTGCTGGTCGTTGTGGGGAGGGGCGAGCTGGAAGAAGCTGTGACTGAAGGGCCACCCGACAAGGGGCCTTCACTCTCACTTTTAGGTGGGGTTGTAAAAATGGGCTTGAACATGAGAGATGCTGAAGACGTACCAGGAGCAGCAGGGGAAGAAGGGTTAGAAGGTTGGGTGCTCAGCATTTCAAACAGAAAACTCTGCTTAGGGTTGGGGAATGGGGCAGATTGTGCTTGGGATTTGGCAGGTGTCTCAGCCTGAAGGGCTGGAGGTGACTTGGTGTTGTCAGTGACTGATATCGTGGAAGAAGCAGGGGTCAGCCCCATGAAAGTGACTGTGGATTTTGAATCTGAAGAGGTGCCTGGGATGGGCCCTGACTGTGAAGAGCCAAGAGGGGCCAGAAGGCTGGGTGTCTTTGGAGGCGAATGGGCCACAGTGGTTGTCACTCCAGCAGATTCTGGGAAGAAGAGTAATAAGAAAAGTGAATTCTGAATACTTCGAATGTCATGGTATTCAATGTTTTTGTATCCTCCCCATGCCTACCACAGTGCTAAAGATCTAACAGTCAGTCAACAAACATGACTAAGTTTATATCACAGACCTGTAAAGTAAATCAAGGAAGTGTTCATTATTTTTATCTCACAGATCATAAGAAAGACAGAAGGGGATAAAGTGTGGCCTAATTGGGAGTTAAATGTGTGGGGGAACTAAAGACAATCCAATCACCTGAACTTAAGTCCAGTTACTTACCTGGATACACTTTATTCATCTAACAAAGATTTACTAATGTCTACCTACCAGGTGCTAAATGGAGAGCATACAACCAAAAATGAGGCAGTCTCTGCCCATGAGCCCTGGGAGAGGCTGAATATTAAACCTATACTACTACCTGATAAAATGCAATAACAGAGGTGTGTATACACTCTTGTCCCTCAGTATCCACAGGGGACTGATTCCAGGATGCCCCATGGATACCAAAATCCACAGATGCTCAAGTCCCTCACGTAAAATAGTATAGTATTCGCATATAACCTATGCACATCCTTCCATATACTTTAATCATCTCTAGATTACTCATAATACCTAATACAATGTAAATGCTACGTAAATAATTATTATACTGTATTTTTTAATTTGTAATTTTTTTTATTGCTGTATTGTTGTTTGTTATTTTCTCCCCCAAATATTTTTCATCTGTAGTTGGTTGATCCCACAGATGTGGAACCTGTGGATACAGAGGGCCAACTGTATGCAGTGCCGTGAAGGCATGGGCTTAGAACAATCAAAAGACCCTTGAAAACCTAGAGGGATATGGAAGTAATATTATTCTGGGTATGTGGTTTAATAAGTATGTAACGTGTTAAACATATATCACACATACACTTCAGAGACACCTCTCAAAGGATGAAGGCATGGGCTTAGAACAATCAAAAGACCCTTGAAAACCTAGAGGGATATGGAAGTAATATTATTCTGGGTATGTGGTCTAATAAGTATGTAACGTGTTAAACATATATCACACATACACTTCAGAGACACCTCTCAAAGGAAGCATTATTCTCATTTTACAGATGACAACAGCAAGGTTCAGAGCATCCAGGGAACTGAGTTTCAAATCAACAGCCAACCTAAGCTGCCCTCCCCAGCTTTAAGTGCTGCAGCACACTTTCCCTAAAATTTCCTGATTAGAGGGTTCTGAAGCTTGTAAGCTTGCACTGGCTCAGGTGTGGTTAAGTCAGAGTAGGTTCAACCTTTAGAACAATTTCCAGCAACTGATAGGCATGAAGCTTTTACTTCAACCTAAACAAAGGCTGACAAAGAGTGATGTCATCATATGCTCCAAAGGAACCTCTCCCACTCACCTGGGAAGGATGGCAGGCCCGGGGAATTCTGCATCTTCTTCAAGCTCTCTAACAGCATGTTAGTGCTTGGGGTAGCCAGGGAGGCTGGTGAGGAAGCAGTCCCAGCAGAGGGCAGGGTAAAAGTAAAAGGCGGCTGAGTGGTAGGTGGGTTCTCAGTGACGGAGTTTGAGGCAGCATCTAAATAAGAAAGAGCAAATGAAACTGGCCTCCCTTGTTTGGGAATTCTTTCTAGATGGCATATCACAGGGCACAGTGATGCTCAGGATCTCAGGATAACTAATCTAGAAATGCTTCCCCCCCTTGATCTCAATGTTCACTGTTCTCCAGGTTTCAGTGAAGACCCAAATGGATTTTTCAGATGAGAAAGACCAAAAGAAAACACAGAATTCCTCCTGGATTTTTTCCAGAGAAACCCTTTAAAAAAAAAAACCAAAGGAAAAAACACATCAAACCTCTGTGGAGTGTGCAGTTGATCTATACTCCTTACCAGACTTGTCCTCCAAAACCTTGTTAAACCATTGTAATGAAGCTTTCTTTTCCAAGTCTAGGTCTTCTGCAGTGATTGAATAACCAAGCTGGGGAGGTGGAGGCTACCAAAGAGAAAGAAGTCAGGTGAATAAGAAGAAACTGGAAGAAACTTGTATTTAGCCTTCCTAAGACTTAAAAGAGCTAAGCTAGGGTGGGCAGGAGTAGATGGACAGGACCATACCAACGTCAGCTGGTCCCCTCGCCTAGAGGGCAGCAGCTGAATCTTCCGTTTACGCTGCCCAGAGTTGCCAGGTGTAGATGGAGAATTCCACGAGTTTTGTTTCTTCTGTGTGGTTGTATCTGCAACTAAAGACAGAAATATAGACTTGTTTGCTTTCTTCCCTCTTTCAGAAATGAAGAGTTTTGTCTACCCACTTGGTTTTTTGGGGGGCGGGTAGCTGGCCAGTAAGGGGATACAAACCCTTGGCCTTGGCCAAACCCTTGACCTTGGTGTTATATCCACTTGGTTTTTAACTCTGAGTTTTCAATGGGTATCTCCAAAAAGAAATGATTTGGGTGCTTGGATGGTGTCTGCAAGATTATTCCTAACAGTCAAGAGGATAAAGAGATAATTGCTCCAAATACAAGCATACAACTACTTACTGGACAGTAATTGCCTGAGTCTCTCACAGATGCCTCAAACTAAGCTTATCCAATAGTTATCACATGTTACATTGTATTTGTCTGTTAACCTTCTCCCTTATCAGACTAGAAACCTCTGAAGGACAGGAATTTCTCTCTCTGTGTCTACCATGCCCTAGACATAGTAATGCTCAACACATTTTCTGAACAGGCATTTATCTCTATATCCTCCATAAACACTTCTACTACCACCAGCAGCAGCCACTCCTGCTCACTCATCAACTTACGCCTTTCTCCCTGGGACTCCTTGTCTGTCACCAATGGTGCTGAAGAACTGGAATGAGGACACGGCTCCTCTTCTCTGTAGGGAGAAATCCAGAATTTAGTTCAAAGAGACTTCCCGACCAAAGTACTAGATAACTTTTTCTACCCTCCTACCTACCAAGTAGCCAAAGCCTAGAACAACCATGATTTAAGATCTCAGTGTGTCAGGATAAAAATGTCAAAAGAAAATGCCCATAGAAATGAAGGTAGTTCACAGGGGCCATGAAGAAACACTTGTTTTAAAACAACCACAAAATAATAATTTTCAAAACCTTACTTATAACCTGCCAAGTTCCTGGGAGTTCTAGACACATCTGATCCCTGAGGGAGGAGAGTGCCAGCTTACTGTAAGTACCTAGAGGGTCAGCTGGAGTCAAGAACATGAAGGCTTCTGCCCACTGCCATGATTCACTCTCTGCACTCCACTTTATGTGGCTTCAGCTCTTGCACCCTGATCGCTATGCTGGAATATGAGGCAGAGAGCCAGGGGCCTCTAAGTCAGTACATAAGACTGTAAGAGATGAGAGCAGCTCAAGTGCGTATTTCACTGTCCTTCCCCTAAGCTTAATTTCTCTGATTCTCCAAGCTCTTGCACCCTGATCGCTATGCTGGAATATGAGGCAGAGAGCCAGGGGCCTCTAAGTCAGTACATAAGACTGTAAGAGACGAGAGCAGCTCAAGTGCGTATTTCACTGTCCTTCCCCTAAGCTTAATTTCTCTGATTCTCCAAGTCAGAGTAGCACAAAGCCTAAGAGACAAGTAAATTTCCCTCCTTTCCTCACCTCTCCTTTGTCCATACAGCAAATGATAACTAGAGAATGCTGCTTACCTTATTTTCTTTGCTGACCTCTCTGGTGTCTGGGAGCGGGATGAGGCTGGGCTAGAGAAGGGTGATGAAGTGGGACCACTTCTCTTCCAGAGCTGAAAGTGAAAAAAGTTACATGACTGAGCCAGTTGATAAATTAGCATCTGACCTTCAATGTAATTTTGTGGTTCTCTTCATCACTGTATATAAAGTCTCTAAGTGACTAAAAAAATATTTCTTTGTGAAGAAATACCCCTGAAAAGAAAGTCAATTGCCAATATTAAAAAAAAAAAAAAAAAAAAAGGCTAGAAAAGTAATGGAATGCTAATAATAAATGTAGAAGGAATGAATGTAATTTTTGCATATATTAAAAGTGGCACATTACATTCAGTAATAGTATAGAGCCATGATGCATACAAGTCTACTCTAGACTGTCGATGGAAATAAATTAAGAAACTGTACCAGTGAAGACAAAATACAGTAAACTAATTAGTCTAGCTTTCGTTAAATTTTCAGTTTTAATTTACCAACTTAATTTTTTCAAATACACTATCATGACATTTATGGCTTTTGCAACATCTATGGTATCTTAATAATTGTTCATCTTAATTGTACTATCATCTTAATAATTGTTACCAGTTTCTAATATATTCTATTGGAACTATTATGCATATTAAAAGATTAAAGAAACCAGTATCCCAATTAATAGAGGACATATACACAGTTCTACACCTTGTTTTTTATATAACATATTTTTGAGATCATTCACAGGAGTACCTATGAAGCTGCCTTATTCTTTTTAATGGTTATATAGTATTTCAACTTATGGAAATACTGTAAGTTAGTTACTCAACCAGTCCTCTGAAAAGGCACATTTACATTGTTTCCAAGCTTCTGCTATTAAAATAATGCTACAAACATCCTTGTACATATCTTTGAGTATATGTATAGGATAACTTCTTAAAAGTAAAGTTACCGGATCAAAGGGCACGAGCATCTTTACTGTTGACAACTCCTGCCACACAGTCCTCTAGAGAACTTTATCAACTGACACTCCCACCAGCAATGCATGACAAAGTAGCCTGTTTCTTCTAATACTTCTGTGGTTTCTATTTTACATTTAAAACTTCAGTTCATTTGGAATTTGTTTCTCTAATATACAAAAAGCTCTCGAAAATGAGCAAAAAAAGACCAGTAGCCCTTCAGAAAAAAGAGTGAAAAATATGAACAATCAGTCATGGAAAGAGAACTCAAAATAATCATTTAACATATGAAAAGATGACCAAACTAACTCATTAGAGACAAAAATTAGATATTATGCTTCACCTGTCAAATGAGAACCTAGTGTGTGTGAGGCTGTGGAGAAAAGGCCACTCTAATACAATGCTGATGGTAATGTTAAATGGTACACACTCCATGGAGGGGAATCTAACAATATCTAGCAAAATTACACATGCATTTAACCTTTCCCAGATGTATAACTGCCAAGTATGAAATAACATATGAACAAAAGTATTCTTTGTAGCACTATCTGTAATAGCAGAAGACTGAAACAACCCAATGCTTATCAATAGAGGACCAGAGTAACTATGCAGTTGTAAGAAAAACAGATGAATTTCTACATACTGCTATGAAGTGACCTCTAGTATGTACTATGTGAAAAAAGTAAGGCTCAAACCTGTATATACTGTTTACTACCTTAACATTAGAAATTGGGGATTTAAATGATTTGTATATCATTTAAAGGATAAACAAAACGTAGTAAGAATAGAGAAGAAGAGAACAATGTGGAGTGGAAAGGGCTGGGTATTGGATTTCTCTGAATATATTTTGTCTTGGTGTACATTCTTTGGAACAATTTACATATTTTACATAACTAAAAACAAAACTATATCAAAAAGAAAAACACAGAAATCCCTAAAACTTTAAAACATATTGAACAAATGAAACTTACTATATATAAAATTGGTGTGGTGATGTAACCAACTGATTCACATTACTTTAAAATACAATATTTTTATTATATATCCCTAGTATTCATAGAGAGATGTATACTAAAGACAAAATGAATCACAAGTAATTCTTGAAATGACTTCAGAAGTCTCAGTGTTAATAACATTGATATTATTATTTTGAAATTGTGTGTACTAGGATCAAATAAGTAATTACAAAGCAATTTTTTTAAGAATACATAAAAATATAGAATCAAAGAAATTATGTAAAAAAATCCTGCCATTTAAAATATGAATTTGAAATATCATTATGAATTCTATGGATTTCAATTCCTCTTTCTAGAGGACCTGAATATCTCTCCTAGAACCCTGGAATTATAGTCTCTAAATACCATTTCCAACCGGAAAAAACCAAAGCTTTTTGAAGAAATAGCCAACTGCTGTCTATGCGGGAAATGTACAAGACGAATTTTTTTTGGAGTGTCAAAAGATTGCAGGGATTAGAACAAAAGGACACAGGAACCAGTGTGAAAGGGCTCCCACCGACCAAGGTTGGAAATGTTTGTGCATCAAAAACAATAACTACAATGTACTGAAAAACATAAAATAATTATGAAAGTTCAGAAGTTCATAAAGATAATCAATAACAACAGCAAAAAACTCATTGGTCCCCTCTGAAGTTAGCTGTGGCATCAATGCCTTTTTATTATCCTATTGTTCCTTTAGAAAGGGCATGTTCTTCAATATAGAATTTCAGTTAATAAATGCAGAGGAACAACAGAATTAGAATATCACCATTTTGAAACCTAATATAACAATGGATCTATGTAAAGATGATAAATGGCTGCTAAAATCATCAGATGAAAAGCTAATAGGAAAATTAAAATGAATGGATCAGAATGACAACACCAGAACCCAGTGATTAATATTTACATCACTGAAAAGTGGAAAAACCAGACATTTTTTGCCTCCTGATGTGGCGCAATAGGAAACACACAGAACCACCTATGAAGTATTCTGCCAAAATAACTGAACTTGAATCTAATCAAGTCTCAGGACCCAACTACCCATTCACATGAAAGATAAGAGGATACAGTACATATTAAAAACAACACTATGATGATACAAACTAAATCCAGAATGTGGAAAATTCTACAGAAGAAAATGATCCATTTTTTCGAAAGCACAGAAAAAGGTAAGTCGAAGTATTATAGATTAAAAGAGCCTAAGAGACCTATCAACCAAATGTAATAAATTGATTGTTGATTCCTGATTCAAAGTAACTTCAATAAGACAGCTTTGGGTAATAAGGGCAGAGTTGAACATGGTGTGATATTAACTAATATTAAAGAGTTATTAATTAAGAAGGATAATGGTATTGTGGTTATTAATGTAAAAAACAAAGTTCTTAACAGTTAAAAATACTATGAAGTACATATAAGTGAAATAGCATGTTTGCGACTTGCTTTAAAACAAAGAGCAAAAACAAACTGGGGAGAATTCATGGACTAGGACTGATAAAATGTTGTTAACTACTGAAGCTACATGGAGGTTCATTATGACATTTTCTCTCCTTTTCTGTACATTTGAAATTGTATATAAGAAGGTTTTAAAAATAGAGACAATAAATATGTACTTAATAGGGTTTTTGTGATGATTAAATGAGGAAATTCATGTAAAGTACTTAGCATAGGGCCTAACGTAGAATAAGTGCTCATAGTAAAGGTTACTATTATTGTCCTATTTTTTTCATTCCCACACCACTCTGGCTCAACCTTCATCTTTCATTTATATGTATTATTGTAAGAGCCTTCTGGACTGATGAACATGTCTTAAAATTTTCTGCCCTCGGAAATCTTTCTCCATTCACACTTTATCTTTTCTTTTAGGTACTATATATTGGGAACCTACTACTGACAGGCACCATAATGGGTGTGGGTGCTTTTCAAACATTACCTTCAATCATTACAACAATCCTTTAGCCATGAGAAAAAGAGTTTAAGTGATTTACCTGCTCATTTACCTGTAGTATGTGTCAGCACTTTATCTTTTCTTTTAGGTACTATATATTGGAAACCTACTATTGACAGGCACCATAATGGGTGTGGGTGCTTTTCAAACATTACCTTCAATCATTACAACAATCATTTAGCCATGAGAAAAAGAGTTTAAGTGATTTACCTGCTCATTTACCTGTAGTATGTGTCAGAGCCAAGATCTGAACCCAAGTCTGTTTGGCAGCAAAGTTCCCTACACTATACAGCAATCCTCTTTCTAAAAAAGAATTACGACCATTTCTTGTTTAAAAAACTTTCACTAAATTCTAAATGCCTACAGGATAAATCTCTTTTATGACCCAATGCAATCTGGACTCAATCTACCTTTTCAAATTAATACCATTTATTGAATTGTTCATCCTTTGTCCATTTATCTGCAATAATGGCTCTATTTTTTATCAGGTTTCTACATATGCACTGGTTTACTTTCTGGGCTTTCTATTCTGTTCCACTGGTCTATTTTTAGCATTTAAGGGTCAGATCTTCTACTAGCTCAGAGACAATGCTAATGTCTGATAGACAGAAGGTGGTTAGAAAACATTTGCAGGGCCGAGCCCGTAGCGCACTCGGGAGAGTGCAGCGCTGGGAGCGCAGCAGCGCTCCTGCCGCGGGTTCGGATCCTATATAGGGATGACCCGTGCGCTCACAGCGCTCACTGGCTGAGCGCAGTGCAGCCGGTCTCAAAACGGACAAAAAAAAAAAAAAAGAAAACATTTGCAAATCAATTAATTAATGCTGGGAACCCATTTCCCCCACATCACAAGAGCTGCTACTGTACCTGTGAGAAGCCTCGTGTAGAGCTATAGGAACTGGTAATGGCATTGCGGCTGGAGCTAGGGATGCCACCTGTGTATGTGCTTGTCAAGGAACTCATGGAAGAGGTGCGGGATCTCTTATTCAAGTGGTCATCTGAGCTCTGAGAATTGAGACCCCTTTTCAGAGATCCAGGCCTAACAAAAGGAAAAAAGATAGTTAGATGAAACAATTAAAGGAATGACACCTTTCTTAACAAACCCGAAGGGAAAAGGATAACGCTCTTAATTTTTAATGATAACAATTTAGCTAAATATATCTGACCAAATCAGTAAGAAAAGCCATATATTTAAAACTTAAATGCATTATTCCATTTCTATAATATTCTAGAAAATGCACACTAATCTCTAGTAACAGAAAGCAGATCACTGGATGCCTGGGACTGGGGGCAGGGAGAGATTAGAGAGGGCACAACAGAACTTTTGGAGATGATGAATGTATTCACTATCTGGATTGTGGTGATGGTTTCACATGTCAAAACTTAACACATTGTATACTTTAAGCAGGTACAGTTTATTGTATGTCAATTATATCTCAATAAAGCTGTTAAAAAGAATGAGAGTTAAGAGAAACCAAACATTTTTTCTAAGCTTCCAACGATAGGAAACAAATTTCCTATCCTTTTTTCTTGTATACAATGTAGACAACTTACTGTCTCCTAGAGTTATTCATGTCAACCATGAACCAGTTTATTCCTATACTTGATCAAAATGTATTTCCTCTTACTTTTACCCATGGATCCTATCTGAAGCCAAACCAAGCAAGTTATCTTGCCTCTTCCATGAGAGGACCATTTTCCTTCCCTCCCTTATTCCCCCTGCAATTTTCTTCCTCTGGGCTAGTACTTCTGCACCTTCAAAACTCTCTCATACCACCACCCCTTTTGGTTGTTTCAAATCCCCCTAACATCTCAGTTGCTTCACTGGGAATAAATTTCAATTTGTGTCACCCTCTCTTGTGAACTAAACACAATGCTCCATGGAGCACTTACCCGCCTCATTCTAGTCTCTCTTCTAACAACACAGACTAAGAGCACTTTAGCTTCTTTGGCAGCCATATCATATTGCTGACTCAAATTAAGTTACTTACCCTGCCTTTTCATACATATTTCTGAGCCACTTGCCCTTCCATCCAATTTTTCCTCCAATGTATTTTTAAATTCAAATGCAGGGGCTAGCTGGTTAGCTCAGTTGGTTAGAGCAAGGTGCTGATAACACCAAGGTCCAGAATTTGATCCCTATACCAACTAGCCACAAAAATAAACTCAAATGTAGAAACAACATTTGTCTCAAATTTCATATTGTTGCATTTTATCCATTGCACAAACCTTGCAATCCTTCTGTTTATATACTTTGTCATCAAATATATTTACAACCCTTCTTAGCCTTAGCATATTTCATCCATATTAATGCATAAAGAATTGGACAGAGGATAGTTAATTGTGGCAAGCTACTCAAAATGTTCCTCCCTAATTTCAAAGATGTGAACCTGAAATAATTAAGTGATGCAAAAAGCAAAGAAGAAAATCTACAGAAAAAAGGCCCCTTTTCCAAATAGTTCATATTTCATCCAGAGGGACACTCACTTACTTAGGCACAAAAGAAGTGGGGACTCCATTGGCCACCAGGGGCTCAAATGCTGAATGTCCACTCCCACTGCTATCGTGACGCCTATGACAAATCAAAAATATTTAATGAAATGACATGACTTTTTACCCCCTTTAAAGCATAGTCTCATATTCCTGGGATCTTATACTATCTCTATGGAGCACAGGTTCCATGCTAGACAAGAAAAAGATTGTTTCAAATCCCTCAGCTTCTGAAAGGTAAACTTAATCTAAGAGTAGCCTGGTAATAAGGACAGTATGAAAATACTTCAAGACCTTGTGAACTATTCAGTTGTATCAATTCTTTATTTGCTAACTTCACATTATAGTCATGCGTCGATTAATGATGGAAATACATTCTGAGAAACACATCATTAAGCAATTTCGTCATGTGTGAATATCACTGAGTGCACTAACACAAACCTAGATGGTATAGTTTACTATACACCTAGGTTATATGGAATAGCCTATGGCTCCTAGGCTACAAACTTGTCGGACATGTTACTACACTGAATACTGTAAGCAACTGTAACACAATTGTTAAGTACTTGTGTATCTAAACACATGTAAACATAGAAAAAGTACAGTAAAAATGTGGTATTATAATCCATGAGACCACCATTTTATATGAAGTCCATCATTCACCAAAGTATCGCTATGCAGCACCTAACTTATTACAATCATAAATTTAACACCCCACTATCCACAAATGAAAAAAAAAAAAGCTTAGGGACCAACCTATACATCCCACAGTGCTGCAGAGGCTAATATGCCAAGTCTGTTAGGGCAAAGCTCTACATATCACATGTAAGAAGTGCCTACACATGGTGTACATGGTCACTGGTTATTCTAATTACTGGAAAGATGATACAGAATCCTCAGCTATAAGCTCACCAGGGTCGAGAAAAATTACCACTGTGGAGAACATGGGAAACTTACTTGGACCATTAGAATAGTTATTTCCTCCCCATCCCTTGCCACTCCTGCTTAGATATTAGCGCAAATTGCTTACTTGCCACAAATATAATTTCTGACTCTAGTCATCATTATCTGATCTTCTTATATTACATAAAAACACTTGCAAGATTTCCCTCACTTAATTTTGTCATCTATATTATCACAGATGGCCAACTCTGAAACTATTAGATATGAACAATCTAGTCTAGGAAATGGGGACAATGGTTATATTTTTTAGGTGTGGGGTCCACTGTCCTTCAGAGAGCTCTTCTTTAATAGCTTCATATGAAGAAGCCCCCTTCTCATTACCCTCTATCGCCTTGTTTTTTATCCCTAATAAACTTACAATTTACAATTACCCTTTTTTCTGTGGGAATATTTTATTATCATTTAAAAAAATTATCTGTCTCCCTCAAGAGTTCCATGAGAGCAAGGACACTGTCTTGTTCACTATTCCATCCCCAGAACTTGGAACAGGGTCTGGCACACAGTGGGTGCTCAATAAATATTTGTTGAAATAAAAAATGAGTGAAATCCTTAACTGACTCCTTGAAAAGCTACAAATAGTTCTGTATCCTCACTAGCCACTTCAACTTCCTCTCTTTCCATACTTAGAAAACGGATTGCCTACTCCATTTTCATTAAGTTATCATAAAAGCCAAATAAACTTGTTTTTCTCTCATTACTGATAAATCTACCATACTCTAATTTTTCACTTTTCCTTGACAAGCATTTTCTTTCAGCACAATTATGACATTTAACCTGGTGGTTACCCAAATAATTGGACAACACAAAATTATGATGGGAATACTCTGAGAATTTTCTCTTGAAAATAAAATTTAATACATTTGTGTCAAAAATATGAGGCCAAGAGTTGTCAGCTTATCTCCAGTACTTACAGAAAAGATAAATTATAAAATTCATCTTATCCATGTTTTAGGAAATGAATAGCTCTTATTACCAGGCTCTTCCAAGAATACCAAAGAAGGGGACCTATTAGAGCTCACAAACTGAAGTTGGTCTCTGTATCTTTATGGTAATGATCTGTATTTCAATAAATTCTGAGAAGTCCACATGGGAGGCATGTTTAATATTCTAGTGTGTCTGTTACCTTCTTTTATTTTCCTGGCCATCATCGACTATTTGGTCTTCTTCCTCCACTGTCCTTTTCTTCCTCTCTTTGAGGGCATTCAGGACAGTCTCCTTTGCACATGGGTCTGGGGCATTACTTGATGGTGAGGACAGTGTTGAGTTCATTACCTGCTCTGATCTGTAACAAAAGACAAGATTCTAGCAGTAAGATATTTTAATTACCATGCCACACAGCACAGACTTAAGTAGTCCCTGGAAATGAGAAGTTAACAAGCAAAAGTATAATCTATACACTTAAAGAAATTTCTCTTAGCAATTAAAGCTACTATCAAGGGCAAAAAATAAAAAATAAGAGAAATTACTAAAATTTGGGATTTCTCATTCAAATAAGTACTACATCTTTTTTTTTTTTTTTTTCTGCTTTATAGTTATGTCAGAGGAATGACTGTTGAATAAAGCAGACACAAAAGGAAGAGTATTCTTCCAACAGTACTCACAATGGAGAACGAGTGAATTTGCTGTCAGGAGGGGCAATCTTCACAGTCACTGGGCTACACACCATCTTGGAATTACGAACAGATAGTACAGTCTTCTTGTGATAACCATTCCAGCACACTGTGGGAAGTACCCCCAAAAAGGAATATTGGGCCTGCTGGATCGGATAGTTTCTTCGAGGTGTTATTACAAACCGATTTGATAAAGTCCCACAATCCCTGCAAAGAATGGGAAACACATCATTGAACCAAAGAAGCTTAAAGAATGTCAGAAAATTTAAACGGCTAAGGAATCACTTGAGTTCAGCAATTTCCCAGAGAGCTTAAATCTCTTTCTAAGCAACAAAGAACACAGTATTTTTATGGCAACTCTCCCCTATTCCATCTAAAGGCAGAAAGTGGCAGCTGCTTAACAGCTGTCTCTACAATGGACTTCAACAATTTGAGAGGGAAACTGAAAGCCCTGCCCACACAAGTAAAACTACAATGGAAGAAAAATGTGTTGTTGGGGTGTACAGAGAGAAACTTTTCAAGAATCCATCAGTCTTCTATATTAAATCATCAGTAATAAATTAAAGCATCGAAAGTGAAACATTTTTAACACCTAGTTCATCTTCTCAACTAAATGTGTTAAACAAGAATCTAACATTCTCACCAATTTTTTTTTATTCTCTTGTATCATCCAGCTATTGGGACAAAATGAAAATGTCTCTTTTGATCAGCTTTATCATTCAAGTTTTTAGATCAAAGAGGTGTTCCCTGGAAACTGCTAACTGATGTAATTTATCCTACTGGTCCGAAGACAAAAATATAACCAAACTATATGACTAAACTCGAAGATAAAGACACTTTCACCCTTTGTAGAGATATTTCAGTGACTTATTAAATATTCTGCTAAACGTAACTGCACTAAAATTCAGGCAGTTTTAAGAACTGAAAGGAGGTGAAGAATTTTGGCAACATAACATCTCATTCCAAAAGTGAGAGGAGGGCAGGAGACGGCTGACACACACCAATGCATTGTTAGAGGGCAAAACCACACGGAATTCACTTTGGACTTGGAAAAGAAAATCGGATTTGAAAGTCAAATCCTCAATCTAAAGCCAGTCTACCCAGAGGAGGATCTGGGAAGATCAGTGTATCTTACCGGTGGGAAGGCCTCCTAGAGGGTCGGAGGACGGGAGTGGGGAGAGAGGGGTAATCGTGGTGAACGCGATGAGCCAGAGAAGAGGGCAGCGGGGAGCGGGCGGGTGGGCGGCGACCTCTTTCCCGCAGGTCCCTGCCCTCCGGAGCGGGGGCAGGCTGCGGTGGGCCAGGCTTGCCCAAGTAACTGCCCATAAGGAGCAGTTCTGCGGGATCGGGTCCCTCCATTAGAGTCCGCGGCTCTAGGAGATTTCCGTTTACTGCCGACTTGGTCGGAGGCGAGACGAGCAGTGTTCGCCGACGCCGAGCGTTCCGAACCAGCGGGGACAAGGCGCGCGAACCTCGGGGCTCGCGGCTCAGCCCCCACCAGGCCGCGGTAGCCCCCACGGCCAGCCAGGCCAGCGCTGCCACCGCGGGTACCAGGTACAGCACGAGGCCAAGCAGCAACAGGCCGAGGAGCGCCGCCCCGGCCGGCCCGCCGCTGCCCCAGCCCCGGCCGTCCCTGACGCTCGCTATGGGCCGTCGCCGCTCGACGTTTCCAGCCGCCTCAGCCGCCGGAGACATCGCGGCTCCGCGCCGCGGAGAAGACTTAAATATCCCAGCGTGCACCGCGCGCCGGGGGCGTCACGCGCGCCGGGTGCGTCACTGCGCGCGCGACTCAGACGCGGCCGGGAGGGGAAACGCTACTACCTGGCAACGCTCGAGACCGGCCTCTTTCGGAAAATGCCGCTGACCGCAGACAGCCAGTTCTGTCTCCTGAGGTTTCCTGCGCGCCACCCGCGCGGCCCCATGTCGAGGCGATCCTGTAGAAGAACCGCGTTAAAAATAGAAGCACCGCAGAGCTACCACTCATGTAATTCTTAATCCATGTTTTCTAGGGGCTAAACTCCCCTCTAGCAAAGGATGTTATCAGGCCCTTTCCACAACTGCTACCAACGGTTGAGTTCTTTGTTTTTTTTTAACCCATTTTCTGCCAAAGTATAAACAGCTCAAGGGGGGTTAATTTCAACAATAGTGAAAAGCAAGACCAAACCAATCGCCCTTGTTAAATGTGAATCTAGATATAATAAATTGCCGATCAAAACTGAAGCTGCGGGGCCGGCCGGGTGGCGCATTGCTACAGTGCGCCGCTTCGGAGCGCGGCGGCGCTCCTGCCGAGGGTTCGGATCCTACATACAGACCGGTTCGCTCACTGGCTGAGCGAGGTGCGGGCGCAACACCGAGGGTTGCGATCCCGTTGCCGGTC